AAAGAGATGAGAGGAAGAGAGATTATTACTTCTCTTGTAATTGAAGTAATGAATTGTCATTTTACAATGAACGTTTAACGTTCTATTTATAGAGAAAAAGATAAGTTACTATACACGCATAGTGACGGTGGGCTCCACATCAAAATTATAAATTTCTCACGGCTGCGCCTAATGCGCTTGATATCTATGACTTTTGTAACAGCACGGAATTTTTCGGCCTTGCGAGATATTTTTGAGCTTTATTTGGGTGTGTTTGTCATGCAAATTGTCAAGGTGACTATACTCATAAGTAATATGCTTAGATTTCCATGTTACTGACAAAAAAAAAATCCTATATGCAACTCCATATTTTCACACACATCTTATATGTATCCTTGAGATTTATTGCCGAGGTAGAGGCTTAAAATTTGTTGAGGAATTAGTTGAGATAGTAGTTTCTTCCACTTAGTCGTAGGAGACATTTTTCTTACTATAATTCACAAACGAAAATCCAATGAAATTTGTTCTAATCTCATCAACACAAACTGAACCGATTTTCTGACAGAAACGACTATCCCAACTAAAATCAATACGGAGAATAACGACAACGATATAAAATAAACTTCTAAATTTGAATTTCTTTTCAATTCCATCAAAAAGAAAAAGAACAAAAAAAATTTTTTTTAAAAAAAGTCTTAACTATGAATGACATTTAATTCTTTATAAGGTAATGAATCCCACCTTTTGTCTATGTTCTTAAGATGGAATAGGGAAAAAATATGAATTGTTAAAGATTCATGTATGTTTTGAATACACAATTAGAAACTATTCAATAGGAAAAAGAAAAATGAAAATTTAAATATTCGTGGATGTTTGAATACACACAATTAGAAACTATTCAACGCCCATATAAGGCAATTTAAGATTTTCAATTAAAAACTTGCTAAATCTACACCTATGTGAATTCTCCACCTCCATTACTATATATGATACTCGTTAGGTTCAATGAAAATTATCTACCTCCATTACTAAGAAACAGAGAATACAATTTCAAGTCACAAAATCTTCTTCTTCACCAACATATTTGCTTTCACAGCAAAAACCGGAGACTTTCTCTCTTATTCTTACCGTTTAGCAAACAAATGGGTCGGAGAAAGATCAAGATGGAGATGGTTCAGGACATGAACACACGACAGGTTACCTTTTCAAAACGGAGGACCGGTTTGTTCAAGAAGGCGAGCGAGTTAGCCACGCTCTGCAACGCTGAGTTGGGTATCGTTGTCTTTTCACCAGGAGGCAAGCCTTTCTCCTACGGGAAACCGAATCTTGATTCTGTTGCAGAGCGATTCATGAGAGAATATGATGATTCAGACAGTGGCGATGAAAAAGAAAGTGGTAACAACAGGCCTAAACTGAAGAGGATGAGTGAACATCTCGATTTGCTCAACCAAGAGATTGAAGCTGAGAAGAATCGAGGTGAGACTGATCAGGAGAAGCTTGAATCTGCTGGGGATGAGAGATTCAAGAATTCCATTGAGACACTTACCCTCGATGAACTCAATGAATACAAAGATAAGCTCCAGACAGTCCATGGTAGGATTGAATGTCAAGTCAATCACATGCAGGCTTCGTCTTGTCTCATGCTTCTCTCCAGAAAATAACTAGACAGACTTGTTGGAGTTACATTCTATTTTTTGTATCAGCCTACAGAAGTTACTAACACATAAAAGATATTGTTGCTGTAGAATTGTCTTCATCTATGGGGTGTGACTTTTTATTTGATATCAAATGAATGTAACTGAGATAGTGAAAAGTACCTGGAAATTTGTCTGTATTAATCTCAAGTGTACTTACTAAAACTTGATCATCTTTTTCATCACTCCGCAGTCTGGAAATTTCGTTTTAAACAGAATCGAGACAATAAAAAGAAACAGTAAACCCTTTGGCCACCACTCAAAGAAACTGGTTAGTATTCATTGATCTCCAAATGCAATCCACAGAAGCATGAGTACCAGGGAAAGAATGATCTCAACGAAACAGAAACTTCTAAATATCACCGATATACAAACCCATCCTAGAAGGCTTAAAACAATGTTTCTAATGTGGTAAAAACCAAAAAGTAATCTATTCAGAATATTCTGAGTCGGTCTCTGATTCATCGTATCCACCTGATTCCTGCATAAATAAATAGTAAAATGAAAAGCTCAGACTAATGTTTTACCACCGCATCAGTGGGACACTGAGGTGAATAAGTATTAAGCAAAAACATAAGAAAGATGACAAAAGGGGTACCATTCTCTTGGTATATTCTGTCATTGCTCGGTGAAATTCCTCCCTCTTCTCAGTGGCTATATCATAATACTTCACCTTTTCCTACAAAACAGTAGAGGAAAAAACAATCCAGAAGTAAGAAACTTCCGTCGAGGTCTCAACCAGAGATATCTCTTCTTTTGAGAGGATACAAAATACCAACCAAAAACATGTGGAAGAAGAAGAATGAGATATTGTTCACCAAAAAGAACAAGAAAATACCCAGTGTAAATTGCAATCTGGCAACATCTGACCCATTTTAGAAACATATCTATCCAACCACTATATACGCTACCATGAAACCTGTTTCATTGCTTTTGTGTATCAACCAATTTTCAGATTCCATACATTTTGAGATTTGACTATGATTCCAATAACACTAAAGAAGAAATTCTTGGAAGATAGAGCAAGTCTGTTAACAAACTTCAAGAGATAATAAAGTAACTGGGACAGGAGAGCGAAACCCTAATGTTACCTCGTATGTCATTGTTTTCCATTTCTCTCCACATGTCTTCCCAATCTGTATAGAAATGAAGAACAAAACAAGTTTAGCAATAAGAATCAAAATGAATATAATAGCCAATTAGCCATCATGTTTTAAATTCATATACCACAAACTAATTCTCTACAACCTCACGCATGGACTTGACCTCCGGATTCTCCTCTTGATATTGTTTCCGGAAATCCTCCCTTTGGAACCAAAAAGATAAGGCAATATGAGGCAAGAGGAAAATGCATATACAACAGGTGTTTCGTTGTATGTTTTCTAAAGTAACCAGAACACATAACAACATAAATAATTTCATCCTAAAGTCCAATGGCAAAATCCACACAAAATTTTCCTTAAGAGAGGACTGCAAGGAAGTCCAGCTGAGCTTAAATATATAGATAACAATTTGGATTCATATGAGGGAGAGTACCTACAAGAAAAAGAAGAAAGCAGTGGGAGGTTTCTTGGGCATCTTTGAATGGAGTTTAACGGGTTTCTTCTTCTTCGGGCTTGACTTTGGCTTTCGCAAAGGCTGAAGTCTCAGTCTTGTAGACCTCCTTGCACCTTCACTTGACTTCACAGCCAACTCTAAGTTCCTGCAATATTGTAAAATGCAATTAACAAAAAGTCTAACATCCTCTTTCCTTGCTCTTCTTCTCAGTCACCCATTTGCCATCGAATAGCATAAAGTTCACAACTTTCATATCCAATTTCCTATCTAACCACTTAATCAGTAATTACCAGAGAGACTAAGCAGAACCCTTAAACCCTAAACAGAGAAACCAAAGCAAAACCAGGTAAAAATCCAAACTTGTTCTGTAACCTATCTAAGCCACACATAAAACTTACCGACTAGAGCCTCCGCTGCACGACGGAGACAGAGGCCCTGACTTGGGAGCTTTCTTCGTCATTTTCTCTCACTTTCTCTTTCTCAGAATCGAACTTTCGCTTTGCTGCTTCTTTGGGGGTTTTCCGTAATTGCAAAACATGTTGTCGGAGATATTTGCCACGTGGCGTAATCTAATCAACAAAAATGGCAAAGATTAAAAGTTGCCAATTTATCAAAGTTAAACGTTTGTGGCAGAGAAGTTACACATCGATGGCAACATCTCTGCTTCTCAGACATTCCTCAGCTGTCTTCTTCTCTCAGTCTTCCTTCTTTTTCACCAAGAACAACTCTTTTCGTTCCTTCTCTTCCATCAAAGTAAGATTTTATCTGTTTAAAAACCATTGATTCTATAACCTTGTATCGAATTGTGTGTTTAGACTTCCCCAATTCTGAAATTGGCTTTGCTTGTTTGTCTCAGATGGAAAGAGGTGAAGCAAGTGAAGAAAAAGATGCAGTGAAGACGACGAAGAAGGTGTTTGTCGCCGGAGCCACTGGAAAAACCGGCAAGAGGATTGTGGAGCAGTTGTTGTCCCGTGGCTTTGCCGTCAAAGCTGGTGTTCGTGATGTAGAGAAAGCTAAAACATCATTCAAAGACGACCCGTCTCTTCAGATAGTATGTTCTTGGTTTTAATCCGATGTTTTCTCGATCTCAGTTTCTCACTCTGTGATTTCTTCTATAGGTTAGAGCAGACGTGACAGAAGGTCCTGATAAGCTAGCTGAAGCTATAGGTGATGATTCTCAAGCTGTGATTTGTGCTACTGGGTTTCGTCCCGGGTTTGATATATTCACTCCTTGGAAAGTCGATAATTTCGGGACCGTGAATCTTGTGGATGCTTGCCGTAAACAAGGAGTGGAAAAGTTTGTTCTTATAAGCTCAATCTTGGTTAATGGAGCTGCAATGGGACAGATACTGAACCCTGCTTACATCTTCCTCAACCTCTTTGGACTAACTCTTGTCGCTAAGCTTCAAGCCGAGAAGTATATCAGAAGATCTGGCATCAACTATACTATTGTAAGGCCTGGTGGTCTTAAAAATGATCCTCCAACCGGAAATGTAGTTATGGAGCCAGAGGTAAAACACAGCCTTTGATCTTTGTTTCATCGGTATTGTGCTGGAAACTGATAGAGATCTGACCTTTGATCTTTGTAGGATACTCTGTATGAAGGGAGTATATCAAGAGACCTGGTCGCAGAAGTTGCAGTGGAAGCTTTACTTCAAGAGGAATCATCTTTCAAGGTTGTGGAGATAGTTGCTCGTGCCGAAGCTCCAAAACGTTCCTACAAAGATCTCTTTGCTTCTGTTAAAGGACATTAACTAGAATACAAATCAATCAGAATGTAATGAGTCTCATGCTCAAAACCTTTATTTCTCTTATGTCTTGCGTACAACAAACAGATACATAAACTTTTGCGCATAAACCGAGTTCAAGATAAGTATTGAAAGAGTTCCATTCAGTTTCATCTCTTATCCATTTTGGGTCTTAAGAGCCCATCACTGGCGCTTCTTCCCAGTCGCATGTTCCCATGAGTGCATGACATGGTTCACGATTTCCTCGACCCCAAGCCCATGCTTCACCTGGAAATGTTTAGTAATCAAAGAAGACTCCTTTGTAAGAACTAAGGTCATTGGTTATAAAAGTGATGAAACCTATTTCTGAAGATGGCGAACCTGAGCAAAGACAAATGGCCCTCCATCACGCATGCGTAGTGCATCCCTTTCCATGACAGATAAGTCAGCCCCAACAGCTGCTGCAAGGTCTGTCTTGTTTATCACCTGCAGTTAGAAAAATCCACAAGATTTCTTTCACACTACTATAGACTTCAGCAAAAGGGCTTGTAACTGAAGAGTTAAGGCAGTATAAGCGTACCAGAAGATCAGCTTGAGTGATTCCAGGGCCACCTTTACGGGGGATTTTATCACCAGCCGATACATCGATGATGTAGATGATATAGTCAGCTAGTTCTCTACTGAAATTAGCAGCTAAATTATCTGCAAACCCAACACTAAACATATTCACATATCGTGCAGATAACTATCAAGAACTGAGAAAACGCGCACAGGTAGAAGGAAATGAAACCTCACCTCCACCGGATTCACAAAGAAGCAAATCAGCCTTGAATAAGTTAGATAACTCCTCAAGAGGACCCAAATTGATACTGATATCTTCACGGATCGCAGCGTGTGGACATCCACCAGTTTCGACAGCTCTAATCCTTTCCTCAGGAAGAGCCCCATTCTTTACCAGAAACTCACCGTCCTCTTTCGTGAATATATCATTTGTCACCTACAATGTTTACAAGATCAAAATCATTTTTAGTCACATGAGTGCGTGAGATCAAGCAAACAATCTTGTATTGCCACTGATAATAATACTCACAGCAGCAAGACTATATTTGTCCCTCAAGAATCTACAAAGAGCAAGCATCAATGCCGTTTTCCTGAGTGAACAAAATACAAATCCAACGGGGATTAGACAAAAAAGGTCGACCCTTTTGAACAAAGATTGACACTTTATATGATCAAGAACATCAAGATTCAATGGTCAATCTATATCTAAAAAAAAATCAAGAAGTCAATTAGATCAAAAAAACGTTACCCAGTGCCAACAGGACCGCCAATACCGACGGTAAAAGCTCTCTCAGAGAAGTTACGGTCGTTAAGCGGAGGAGCTCGGCGGCTGAAGTAGCCAGGAGAGTAAATGGGTTCGTGTGAGTGCGGTGCCAGTCCATCATGGCTATGGTACACCTTCCCGTCCTTCCCCACCCACGAGGACTTCCCTTCTCCGCCGTCCGATTTCCTACTTGACAGAATTAGATAGATATAGATTGGTGAATAAACCGCAGAAAGACTACAACTTTACGGATAGAAATTCAAGGAAACACGAACTCGTGGCCATGCTCATGATCGTGATGATGATGATGATGATGGTGGTCGTGTGATGCCATTGCCGAGAGATTTGATACTCCTTGTAGTGACTGAGTTGACTTAGTCTGGAGCTACCCACGAGAGGGATCTTGAGCACAGAAAGAAACTTTCTATCCAAAGTGAAAGGAGACAATTTCCTCTGTCGGTTACTTAAAATGACCGCCCCTGTCCTATGCTGAGACTTTGAGAGTTCTAAGGCAATTATTGGAATCGTGTTTTAAACATATTCTGATACCAATTTCATTTCTCAGTCCAAGGCTCGATATCTTGAAACTTTAAAAGACGTAATTGTTGTTTTACGCAATAAAGTTTATTGAATAAAGAGCACAACATAGGAGGAATCAAGGAATAAAAGCCAATAAGGGAAAGTTTTTTTCATAAGCAGGAAACAAGAACCATAAAATCCAGACAAAGTCGAGTTGAGTTTCATGAGTACGCCTAACATATTGATGATAAACAAAAATATCCGAAAAGATCAAAAACAACAGAGAGCATAGCTTCAACATCGATTCCACCCCAAAAAAGAGTCAATCAGAGACGTTTTACATGAACAAGTTGGGCTTGTTGGCCTTGTAAGTCGTCTTCAGCTTCCTGCTTGGTGGTCTAACCTTGCGGAACACCAATGGGAACTTGATCTTGCTGTTGTGGAACTGTTTAGTGCTCTCTCTCTTGCACAGCTTGGCCGGGACAGTGGCTGTCTTGATGATCTGGATGCAAGGGAATCTGACACGGTGACGAGAAGCCATCTCAGTGTACATCTGTTCGACAGCTCCGTTAAGAGTGGTGTCACGGTACTCCTTGTACATGTTGTGGTACCCAGTTCTGCTCTGGTACCTCAACCAAATACCAAAATTCTTGATCGTTGTTGGGTTCTTCTCATAGATCTGGGCAAACAATTTAGTAATGGATTACATTAGTCAAGAAAGAGGCCAAGGATCAACAAAACCATATAAACTCATGAGAAAACGTGACATTGTTTCAATTCCAATTCAATAGCAAGTCGAGAACCAAGGAAGAGACTTTGGGAATCTAAGCTTTCTCATTAGAAAACATTAAAGAGAGACAGCGAAGACAACTGAGAGATTTGCATGATCAAGCAATTTGAAAGTTACATGAAAGTTTTGTATAATAGTCAGGAAAACAAAAGACTACAATATCATCACAGCTATAGGTAAACCAAAGACACAAATGTGAGAATTTAAGGATATATAAACGACTAGATCCAATCAAAACCCTAGTGTTCTAGTCCATCAAATGAAATCACTTTCCAGATAAATTAATCTACTTTCCTAACTCAGTGAGATATAAGAACATGGGATTCTCAAACAAGATTGAGTCCATTTCACAGATGAGCAAGTACCTCGTTGATGGCGAGCATCTGTCCGTTACTCTTCTTCACCTTCTTGAGCTTCCTCAAGAAATACCTAATCCCAATAACCAAACTCTAATTAAAGATCAAGCCCATATAAATTCTCAGCAGCAGCAACAAAAAGAGAGAGATAAAAAAGTTTTTACTAACCAGAACTTGGACTTGGCACGAACCTCGTTCGTGGCCCAGAGCTTCATCCGGTAAATCTTAGGCTGCACATCCTTCTCTGTCGGTAGAGCTCTTCCCACAACCTGGTACTGGTGAAACTGCAAATGCAAACAGACAAAACCAAAGATCAGATTCGTCAAGGCTAAACCCTCGAAACTGCAACAATGGTGAGATTGGAATCAACAAGGAATCAAAGAGAGCTTACCCTGAAAGCACCCATTTTTCGTCTGGAGAGAGACAATGCGGTAGAAACCTCAACCAAATAAATATATGCGGCTAGGGTTCTTCTAGTTTATAAATGAGCATTTGCCAAAAACCCTAATTCTAAAACTGATATCGTAAAAGCCCAATGGGCTGATAATCATAGAACATGTCTTAGCCCACTAGAAATTTTGTTATTTCCTCTCTCAAGTTTAAAAATTGGGTAGCACTGGATTCTACTCTTATTGGTTCCAAAGAATAATCTAAGCCCACATTATTTTGAATTTTTTGTAGTAAGTTTCGTGATTATATCCTCAGGCTAAATTATCTAGTTTGTTGTAAACTTTTCATAATTTCTTTCTACTCAAACGTATTGCATTTGGTATCTCAGAGGGGCTCAAACTTTACTAACAAAACTCTTCGGTCTCTTCATGCCTACATGATAGTGATGATAGTGGTTGTAAGGAAATTTGTCGATCCGATCACCTACTAGTTTTTGCGATTTTATTAGACATAAACTAGTTTTTTGGTGTGATATATGTCAATCTACAGTTTCAAGATTATCTACCGTCTACTGAAATAGAGCATCGACTTCTCGCACAAACTGCAGCTGAACTTAACTGGATCTCTTTCATTTTGCAAGATCTCAACATTTTTCAATCTGCTCCTTTTCTTATCCATCTCTCCACTCGAAACACATCTAAAATTGATTACCGTTCTAGTCGGGAAAAAGAGTCTCTTGGCTATGTTATTGACAAGCATATTCCTATTTGAGCACCAACTTGCTGACATTTCATAAAGTCCTTACCACGACATTCTTTCTACCTTGTTCATACCAAACTTGGTGTTAATTTTCCACTTAGCATCATTTTGAAGGGGGGTGAAACTGAAAATCATTAACAAAAGAAATGAAAGTAAAACTACCAAACTTTAACCTGTTTAAAGCAAAAGGACAAAAACAAATGTGCGTTACGATAAAGCCCAAACACACACATAAGTCCAGTCCACTCTATAGTAGCATTGTGAGATCCAACGAAGTAAATTAGTGAGTGATGAGGACACGCAAACACGAGCGCAAGAAAGAGCAAAGGGAATCAAGGTCGTTAGACATATTGCAGCTCACACACATTCATTGCACAATTGAGACACGCCAACGCCATTGATAAAGACTGTCGATTGTCGACTGTCGATGACAAAAGGACATATATATATGATTAAAATGTACTGTTTAATCAAGATGCTCAACAACACCTATCTAGCATAATTGTATTATAATTGTTTGACAAGACATCAATGCATTAAAAAATTCATATGTCAGCATCTTCATTTATAATTTGTCTTCGTTTTTGGAAATCTTCTTAGCTTTTACATACTTTGCTACATCTATAGTTGAATATACCGTTAAGCAATGCTATTTAATCTTTAACAATCGTACTGATAAAAATATTAATATTAATGAACTTACAAACATGTAAGTAAAAATAAAATGTAAAAAAATCTACATATGCTTTCTATATATCTACATATGAACTATAGGGTTGTTTATTAGGTATATATATATCTTAACGATGTTGATAGAGAATGTGTTCTTGTATGGTTTTGGCTTTCCGTCGTCGAGTGGACAGGGTGGATTGTTAACAATATAAAACGGAAAACAGAGGAAATGATAGTATTAAATACATGAAACACGTTATAACTTCACTGGGGTCCCAAACAAAATAAAACAGTACAGATTGATTGCACAAAAAAACAACAACTACTCTCCTTCTCAATTTCAACGTGACATTAACGCTCTTGTGGAACTCACCTAGAGACACATCACGATCACGAACAACGACAATAATCACACTCTACAGTATTGACTTTGATCGCCAATAATTTTAATAAAAATCCAATCAAAGGTTCGGATAAGTTACGACGCGCTTAGACAAGAAGACCGTGCACCCGTCCTTCGGCGATATCGTGGGGCAGTATATGATGTCATCGCAGCCGTCAGTTTGAAGCCTCTTGAAATCAAACAAAGAGGAGAACATTGCGATGAAGAGAACGAGGTGGTTCAGCGCGTAACGCTGGCCTACGCACTGGTGCGCACCCCATCCAAAAGCTAGGTAGTTGCGTTTGAACACTTGATCCTCTTGCCTTGTCTCGCTAAACCGGTCCGGATCGAACCGGTTCGGTTCAGTAAACCCTTGGAACGATGAGTCGAAAACCGAGGGAAAAACGATTGTACCTTTTGGGATTGTGTACGATTCCGTGAGCGGGAAATCATTAGTAGCAATGTGCGGGACCATTGTTGCCGGTGGTCGGTATCTCACGACCTCGCGAGCTGTGGCGCGCGTGTACTTCATCTCCGCGAGCTGATCGGCCGTGATAAGCTCGCCGGACTCAGGCGACCAAATCTTGGCCACTTCCTCCCTCACTTTGCTAAGCACTTCCGGATTAGATTCAAGAAACGCCACCGCCCAAAGGAGTGATGATGTCGACGCGTCTTGTGCAGCGAAGAGAAAATCAAAGAGCAAACCACCGATTGCTTCGTCTTCGGAGTGAAGTGGTGGCGGATTACCAGATTCTATCTCCGTGACGATTGCATGCATCCAGAAATCGATTAGGCATTTTGGCTCCTCCCCTGTCGCCATCTTCTCTTTGGATTTTCCGGCACAGACGGAGAGTGTCTCCTCAAGGTTCATCACCGCCCGGCGAGCCTTGCTGAACGCAAAGCCAGGTAGGTTGATCGGGAGCGCCATGGAACCAACATTGAACAGATTGTAATCAGTACGGAACGTGTTTCTAGCTTCTTTGTCAAGGTAGGGTCCAACGAAAACAGTTTGAGAAGTCTCAAGATTGAGTTCACGGACAAGATCTCGCATAGAAACCGGCTTAGTTCCGCCAGAGAAACTTTCCTCCCACTGTCGTAGATGACGGAACATAACTATTTGTTGAAGATCAGAGTAAGTGGAGAGTGCCTTGGGGGTGAAGTTGGGAGCAAGGTGACGGCGAACGGTTTTGTGATCCTCACCGAACAAGTAGATTAGGCTATGATCGCCGAAGAGTTGTTTGCCAAAAGGATGTCCGAGAGGGTGAAATGCATTGAGACCCACGTTGGAGAAGATTTGATGGGAAAGCTCAGTGTCTCTGATGTAGATGATGAATTTTCCGATGAGGTAGTTGGCGGAGAGGCCACGGGAAGTGCCCGCCGTTGCGGATTGCTTGTACCAGAAGGAAGTTGGGTCACGAACGAGTGAAACGGCGTTTCCGATGATCGGAGGGACAAAGAGAGGGCCAGGGAGGTTACGTTTCTTGACAAGGTAAGAGATTTGCTCGATTAGAAGGAAGAGAAGTAACAAAGAGACTAAGTATGGTGCGAGAGAGGCAAATCTGGAAACTGAGAAAGCCATTTTTTTTTTTCTTCTTCTTTCTTATTAGAGCGATCTCTTAATGTCTTCTGCTCTGTATTTGAGTTTTGTGTATATGTAGTAAACAATATATAAAGGCTATAAGCTATGATTGTTCATTGTTACAACAGTTTCCACTGTTATTAGTAAATTTGTCTGATACGTGAAAATATGTGTGGTTGGTGACTTGGTGTAACCAACTTGGTGAGATATACTGATATATATGACATTAGACAGTCACTAGCTACTAGTCTCTATATTTATGGAGGAAATGTAGTTACAAATTGCAAGTTGTTTAGCTGAAAAATAAAAGTGGAGAGACAAAATACTCGTATATAATTACGCAGTTTGCTTTTTTTTTTTTTTTTTTTTTTTGTGAAACATAATTACGCAGTTTGCTATTTGAATAAATGGTATTTTAATTTTGATCTACCCATTTACATGCAGTATGCTCTCGTGTCAAAATGCATGCATGCGTTATGTCAAATTCAAAGTTTCGGTTTCCGTCCATTAAGTGGATGTTATATATATATATATATATGTGAGTAATCAAAAATAATGTCGTTATATATATGTGAGTAATCAAAAATAATGTCATTATATCTTAAATCATTATATATCCATGAAAAAAGAAAAAGAATATCAATCCTTTTTAATCAGACCATGGCATATAATTGTATATAATGTTTTCCATTATTCCAACATGTATAGCAGTATAGGTTCAATTTTGTTCTGGGGTTTCATCTTCGACCAATAATCAAATATTTTGATACTATGTGAGATTTTTCGTTTAGATTTTCAAATCACCACTATTTTGTATATGTTTTATGAATTATGAAACGTGTATATTTTGTATATGTTTTATCTTTATCCAGACCAGACACATACATAAAATTATTTTTCACTGGTAGTCTAATTTATATTATGACTGGTTTGTTTACAAAACAATATTACCGGAATCAGATATCAAAAGTTCATAAAATATAATAGTGTCACAGCCCTGCTGGTCGTGTGGTTGACAAAGAATTTATTTAAAGATTCTCTACCATATAGATGGGTTTTGACTTTTGACTATGAATTATGCTTATTACTTGTTGTAAATTTAGTGGAGATCTATAATTAGTGTGGTTAAGTATAGCCGTTTGTCATTGACTCATTGTCTCATTTGCTAAAGGTAAAAATTGTCTATGTAGTACCATATATAGAAAAAGGTTTAAAAATAACATGCATAAACTATATAATCATTCATATGCAAAGTTGCTTGATAGATTTGTCTCTGCTCAAGTGCTGCTCATGCTTTACACGTGTTGCGGCCCACATTCACTCAATCACTCTATTATTACTTCGGCCATATTTAATCTACTTTAATTGTTGTCGGTAGAGGGCACTGGGAGATATAATTCTACGCGACGTTTGCAGTATCTGTTTATGGGTGATATTTACACGGTCGCTTCATTCATGGACCGTAACAATATTGGGCTAAAGAGGGCCTAAATTTTCAAATTTCAGATATTGAAATCATTGGAATCATAGACCTATAGGGATTGCTTTTTTCCCGTTAAAATCTAGCTGAACAATTCTTAATACATTTCGTCGGAATGTCTATCATAATCACCGTTAAATCTAGTAGACCTTCGTTTGTTGTAATCAGCATCTTAAACAACCGCGATGTTCCTTGGAAGATCGATCAGTAGTCCACGATATTCGGATCTTGGACCAACTCTCCACGCTTCCAAGTTCCGTTCTCATTCTTCCTACTCCGTATTAGACGATCCATATGAAGCACAATCTAGTGTCTCATGAATAGCCCATATAACTAGGGTTCTTAGTGTTAGAAAATCTCGGGATTACGAGATCGACTTGAAAGAAAATTTAACATTTGTGTATATCTTCTTATTATTAAATAGGTAAATTTACTATTATCATAAATATAACGAACTTGCTATGCAAGTAATATCATTGTATAAATAAACCTATTAACTAATGAATATAATTGAGATAAACTATTTTACTACTACGGTTTCCTCCAAACTTATCACTTAGCAAGATAGTGACTCATATATATAGTCATGGAGTATAGTAACTTTGAGAGTTGTCTCAAAACAACTCTCCTTCTTCATCTTATGAAATATTACATCTAGAATCATTTCCTCTTGGTGATAAATTAATGACTTTCCCTTTCTTTACTTTCTTTGCATCTTAATAAAGCTCCAATAAGCTATTGCATTTTTTGTTTCATATTTCTATGTTAATAAGCTCTTAATGAGCATAAATCTGCTTTCTTTGGATTTACTTTCACTCCGAACAAACTATCTTTAATCATATTGGAGAAGTGGAGAGCAATTGAAGCCAAATTAAATGTCGATGCAATCGGATGTATATATATAGCCGGTTCAAACTATATGTAAGCTTTCCAATTTTTTTTTTACTAGAAGTATATTTAATATGACATGATAGGGTTTTTAACGTCAAAATTATGGTAAAATGGTTATTTTAAAATTTAGGGAGACTCACAAAAATGCCCCTTTTTCAATACCCCTTTTCAAAAATGCCCCATTTGGATGTCCATTTTTAAAAATACCCCTTTTTATATACAAAATGACTAAATTACCCTTCTTTTAATAAAAGATATCATAAATATATAAGGAAATATAACAAAATTAGGTCCACAAAATACAAAATATTTTTTGGCGAGAAAAGTGATCCCGCAATTTTTCCCGCCAAAACACTTGTAAAAATTTGTAAAACCTTTAAAATACCTTGTAAAATTTTCCCGTAAAATTTTTTTCCGCAAAAAATTTTTTTTTGCGGGAAAAGTGATTCCGCAAATTTTTTGGCGTTAAATTTTTGGCGGGAAAAATTTACAAGGTATTTTAAAGGTTTTTTACAGGGTATTTATAAGGTTTTACAATGTATTTTAAAAGGTTTTACAACGTATTTATAAAGTATTTATAAGATTTTACAAGCTATTTTATAAGGTTTTACAAGTTATAAGGTTTTACAAGTTATAAATACCTTATAAAACCTTTTAAAATACATTGTAAAACCTTACAAAACACTTGTAAATACTCCGTAAAACTTTTAAAATACCTTGTAAATTTTTCCCGCCAAAAATTTTTCCGCCAAAAAAATTTCTCCAAAAAAACTGCGGAATCACTTTTCCCGCAAAAAAAAATTTTTGGCAGGAAAATTTTTTACGGAAAAATTTTACAAGGTATTTTAAAGGTTTTTACAAGTGTTTTGGCAGGAAAATTGCGGGATCACTTTTCCTGCCAAAAAATATTTTGTATTTTGTGGACCTAATTTTGTTTCAAATAAGAGTAAAATGGTCATTAAAAATTAAAAGAGGGCAAACTTAAAAATGGACTCTCAAAAGGGGCATTTTTAACAATCTAAAATTTATATGCATATTTTGAAAAAGTTAAAGATGCTTTTTTGAATCAGAGTCATGTTGGACTACCGCATACACATGCTAAAAAAGGGTGCGAATGTGACACCAATTATTATAGCTCGACAAAACCCTGGATTTGGTCCAAAAAACAATAACAATGGTCAACAATCTTTGTCTAAGTAGCACGAAACCAATCTGAATGAACTGATTTATTGATGATTAGAGTGATCGAATACAAAATGGACGAATTCAGATAACGATGAGTAACGGACAAAGAATTCAAAGGAACCTTTTTTCACTAATAAAAGACGGCAAGAAAGAAAACACATAAGTATATATGAAACACGTTTTTGTCCAAAAAAAAAAAAGTAGTATGAAACACGTTATAACATCACTGATTTTCACACTGGAAGACAACACAAATATGGTGAAGACATGGCAAAACAATGACATGTCTTCTCAAATTCGATAAGACAAGAACACACTCGTGGGCCATTCACTTCGAGAGACACATCACGAAAAGTTATAAAATCACACTGTTGACTTTGACCATCAATAATAAATTTAAGAATCTAAAAATCAATTCAAGAAGAGGTTAGGATACTTTGCGACGCGCCTGGACAAGAACACCGTACACCCGTCCTTTGGCGATATCGTAGGGCAGTACACGATATCATCACAACCGTCCGATCGAAGTCTCTTGAAATCCAGCAGCGACGAGAACATTGCAATGAAGAGTACGAGGTGGTTCAACGCGTAACGCTGGCCTACGCATTGGTGAGGCCCCCATCCAAAAGCTAGGAAGTTGCGTTTGAACACCTGGTCCTCTTGTCTTGTCTCGCTAAATCGGTCAGGATCAAACCGGTCCGGTTCGGTAAACCCTTGGAACGAGGAGTCGAAAACCGAAGGAAAGACTATTGTACCTTTGGGGATAGTGTACGATTCCGTGAGAGGGAAGTCTGTAGCAGCTATGTGTGGGACCATAGTTGCCGGAGGCCTATATCTCACGACCTCACGCGCTACGGAGCGCGTGTACTTCATCTCTGCGAGCTGATCAACGGTGATCAAGGCGTTGGACTCCGGTGACCAGATCTTGGCTACTTCCTCTCTTACTCTGTTCAGCACCTCTGGCTCTGATTCAAGCAACGTCACGGCCCAGAGGAGTGATGACGTGGACGCGTCCTGCGCGGCAAATAGAAAATCGAAGAGCAAACCGCCGATCTCTTCGTCTCCGGAATGTGGTGGCGGCGGATTCTCCGTGGCTATCGCCTGCATCCAGAAATCGATTAGGCATGTTGGTTCTTCTCCTCCTGCCATCCTTGCTTTGGATTTTCCTGCGCAGATGGCGAGCGTCTCCGCTAGCCTCGCTACTGCCCGGCGAGCCTCGCCGAACGAGAAGCCAGGGAGGTCGATGGGAAGCGCCATGGATCCGAGATTGAACAGATTGTAATCAGTACGGAAACTTTTCTTGGCTTCCTTGTCAAGGTAAGGTCCAACGAAAACCGTCTGGGAAGTTTCGAGGTTGAGTTCACGGACAAGGTGTCGCAGTGACACTGGACGAGATCCACCGGAGGTACTCTCCTCCCACCGCCGTAGATGACGGAGGATAACTAATTGCTGGAGGGCAGAGTAGGTGGACAGTGCCTTGGGGGTGAAGTTAGGAGCTAGCTGGCGGCGAACGGATTTGTGATCTTCACCGAACATGTAAATGAGGTTGTGGTCACCGAAGAGCTTCTTACCAAAGGGATGGCCTATAAGGTGGAAGGCATCGGGACGAACGTTTGAGAAGATTTGATGGGAAAGCTCTGTGTCTCTGATATAGACAATGAATTTTCCTATGAGGTAGTTGGCGGAGAGGCCTGATTTGCCAGCCGTGGCGGATTGCTTGTCCCAGAAGGAAGTGGGATCACGGACGAGTGCAACGGCGTTTCCGATAATAGGAGGGACGAAAAGAGGGCCAGGGATGTTTCGTTTCTTGAAGAGGTAAGAGACTTGCTCGAGCAGAAGGAAGAGAAGTAATGCTGAGATTAAGTATGGTGCGAGAGAGGCAATTATAGAAGCTATGAAAACCATGTTTCTTTGTTTTTACTTCTTATATTAAAGGTTCTCTTGGTTGGTTTTGCTTATATATGGAAATGATTTGACTAACAAGAAGAAGAGAGTTTAAGAAAAAAAAGAAAACAAGAAGAAGAAAATGGTTTTGCTTTGTAGTCTTGCCCGCTTTTTGTCTTTCTTGGTGTTCTTTGTTTGGTGGGTTTTGCAGAATTTTCTAAGAGGTTTTGGGAAATTGGATTGAAGCTGTTCACAAATTGCAATGGTATCGGAACAAGAAGAATTCAGATGTCTTTCTCTGCTCTGTTTTTTATTTATTTATTTATATACTTTCATAATCATATGTCTTGTCCATGTGGAGAGCGAGATGAATATTTTGAATTGACCGTGCTTTGCTGTAGAAGATTCGGTTCATATAGAAGATTCTAATTAGTTGGTTAGTTGTCATTAATAGCACATTAAGTTTCTATTTCTAGCCGTTGTAGATCTTCTCTTCTTCCTGCATATAAAATAGAGGACGCGTGTAACACAGTGATAAATAGATTATTTATTTATAAACGATAGTTTTGAAATTTGTGAATAAGCTGACTTGACCATTCTAATACATCACTGTTCCTTAGATAGATTTTGAGGTTACCTCCATAGATGACTTGGTTTCAACTCCCAAATGAATTGTTTGTTTTTAACAGTACTTTGACCTTAAAAGGTACAGTTTGGGGGCTGATCTCATACCTATAAACCTGATTTGCTCAAAAAATCATTAAAAAATAAAAGTTGGAATAGTATAATAATACACATTAGTTGGATAAAATTATTTTCTTTTTGATGAATATTATCTTGTTAAGCTTCAATCATGTCCAAATACATATTTTATGCGCGTGTCCATCACAACATCTTATTTTAAGGTTTATGGTGTCCAAATAATGACGTCTCAAGTTGCGTGTAGCTCAATTAAACTGATTTTTGATTTCATTCCCATCCAGTTTTCTATGTCGTCTGATGTCTCTCAAGTGGGACTGAAGTCATCTAGCTGTTCTACTGAGAGACCAATAAGCGAGATTCTGATTAGGACTAGGACATATGCAGCTTAAAAGTTTGTGTTGGTTATTGTTATTGTTGTGTCTTCACCCTGGCCTAATTAGATTGCATATTATGAAAGCGAAGTTAATTCAATCTAGAAAGTTTAAATGATGTATAATTACTGAGAGTTATATAACCTGTTATGTCATTGAGTTGACTAAGAAGATTGTTATTTGATTAACTAGCATATATACATACTTTTCAACATCTAAACAATGAGATAAACACAAATACGTGTTAAAAATAAAATAGATAAGCACAAGTAATGTCGTATAAAGTATAAACCATAAACTAATATGTTTTGAATTTTGATTGGCTGAGATATTTGAATGTGACATATTAAATAGTGAGATCGAACTCAGAACGACTAAATTATTAATTAGTTTTGTAGCAAATACTCCATCTGTTTCACAAAGAGTTTCATTCTAGTATTTTCACACAAATTAAGTAAAGTAAACAAATTTCATTTTTACTCCTTATTAATACACTAAATAATACTCTCTCTCTAATTGATGAGCTAAAATAGTGAGGATAAAAAAGAGAATTAGTCTTTAAAACTGCATTGAAAATACAAAACGATACTCTTTGTGAAACGAGATCAAAACCTTAAAACTACATTCTTTGTGAAACGGAGGGAATATAAAAAAAACAGAAAATTATATATGTAATGAGAGAGTTTTCTGTCATTTATGTCCAAGACCAGTTAGAACTTCTATCAATCTGTCTAATACAATATTATGGACCAGTTAGAACTTCTATCAATCTGTCTAATACAATATTATATCCGAATCTAAGCACTAATCAATTTCCTTTCTCGAGCTAAAAGTTGATCGAACTATAGCTAAGTCCTTGGAGTAAAAAACATATTGTAAATTATTTTCTTCATGTTTTTGGCTTAGAAGATTCTTACTTTGTTCATTTATATTATTCCAGAGAGAATCAACGTCGTTGACCATTTGTGTAAATCAGTTTCATTGTGTTCACGTTACTAGCTAGTTAATAGTTGATAGTTCGATAATGTGATAAAGAAGTTTCCGATAACGTTTTCACTACAAATCACATCTTTCTATCAAAATAATAACTCTAGGACCTTTTGATATTTCTTCTGATTCATTGGCCTTAATTAGGGTAAGTATCTAAAACATTACACTTTTGACAAAAAGAAGAAAAAATAATCAAATCCATTATCAAAAAAATAAAAATAAAGAATCATATTACAAGTTCTCTTGTGATTCAGATTTTTTTGAATGTTGATTTTTCCATTTTCTTCCGCTTCTTCCAACATACTACAATTTAAACTTTGAAAATTCATTTTGGAAAGGTGTAGAAAAATCAGCAAAATGATAATTACACATTTGGAAAATTTCTTCCTTAATTCTTTGATATTATAATATTTATTGAAGTCAATGAACGTTATTCGCTCCGTGGAATAGAAATTCTATGTTTTCAGTCTCGAAGAATTCCAAAGTTTCTAGATCTATTTTCTTTCTGAATTTTGAAAAGTTTTCAAATGAAGATGATCATAAAAACAGACACAAACATCTTTTAGGGTACACGATGTGATCTTTTGCTTTACATGGATAAATGTTTTATTGTAAAAATTTCTTAGAATCTCACATAGAAATATGAAAAGACCAATACTAATACATTTCAAATAAAATAGTACTAATATCTTGTTTCTTGGTATGGTATCAGAGTCCAATAAATCTTAATGTGTTTAGTTGATCCAAAATAAAATACGATTTGGTATCTTGTTTTTTTGTATGGTATTGGAGTCCAAAAAATTCAAATGAAGCATATTACAATCTTACATCAAAACTATAAAAGAATAAACACTAATATATAAAAGATATGAGCTACTAAGTCGTTATGAATTGGAAAGTCCATATGATTTCTTACACATAAACAGAGCCGACTAAGACCAGATGTTATGATTTTTTTTCAAAGAGAAAAGTCCTAAAACACTATGTAAAAGACTAGCCCTAGTTTTTAAAAAGATGTGGCCTCTTAATATTTCATGGCTTAGGGCAAATGCCCTCTTTCTACCTATGTTAGCACGGCACTGGACCAGAGGAGTATAAAGTGGAATTCGGTAATGATACAAAAGAAATATGTACAGGAAGATGCATGTGAGAAAAATCAATTCTAATTAGTAATAAATCATCATTTCATTCATTGCTAGTTGATTTTGAAGTTTTATCATTGCATTTGAAAATTAAAATTACAGATTTTTTTTTGGTCAAACAAATTATAAAACTGATTAGTGTCCAAGAACTAATTAATTGACATCAGTTTGCAATAAATCTACAAAATGTATAGCCTGGTTCGATAATGTAAGACTGATTGCTGCTCTAAACGACCATGAATTGCATAAATACCCATTCATTTCTAGTAGCTTGAACCGATACATAGCCATACAACATTGGAATCCCGTATAATTTCCCGGTCTAGGTATCAATACATTTTCTGAACAGGAACAATCTAGATGAAAACCAATGAAAGAAGAATAAAAACTGGAAAACCAAATCCAATTCTACTAGACCCGGAGAACCAAACCTTAACGTCATCAATCACAGGTCCACACAGTGAACTCATGTCGTCCGTCCTCGTATTGTAATAAATGCTGTAGAAGGCGATCCTCGTTCGTTCAGCTTTCGCCGTGAAGTTCAACTCCGATCTTTCGAAACTAGAGTTCGCCTGCGCCATATAATGAAAGTTCTGTGCTTGATCTCCGGCAAAAGCCATTACGGCCAAAGGTTCCTTACACTTGTCCCCTGCGTGTCCCAATGAGAAAGACAGCTTGTACGGAATGTTCGCCTTTGTCTCAACCATTTGAGAAATTATGCCTTCTTTGCCCGATAGAAGCTCCAAAGCTCGCTTTCCCTCAGGGACCGAGAAATGGTCTGAGTCAATAAACCGGACCGCTCGGTTTGATTCGACGGTCCATCCGGGAAGAGACGATATTTCTTCGTCGAGGTTTGTCGGAAGAAGAACACCTAATGTCGTGTTCCTGAACATCCATGGACCTTCTTCAAAATCTCCATTAATCACTGCATTGCCTGTCAAAGTATACAACAATTACTTTAACTTTACTTTAAATCTTTTCTATTGGGGTTAAATTATATGATTTATAAAACTTTGGTATCGAAAACATAAATGAAACGTTACCTTTGGTTTTATCAGGAGTAAAGAGCTTCTTAACGGCGATGTCGTCAATGATAGGTCCACAAGTAGGATCATCCTCCATGCCAGGGTTCCTAAAAACCAACCGGACGCGATCAACCACTGCTTCAAACGCCCATGCATATGGATCCCACCCTTGAACGCTGTAGACCGTTTGCAAGTCAATGGTCTGTGATGCTATGGGTTCATTGGAAGCCACTGACACATTCAGCGACTCGAGCTGTGCACATGTGCGGGCGGCACTGAACGTGACAGAGTAGATAGAGCCTTTCTCTACGGGAAGTTCTTGGCTGATTTCTGCATCGTTTCCTAATCTGACGGCGTGACGACCCTCGGGCACGATCAAGATCATCCCGCCTTGCTTTTGACCGGATTTGATTAGCTCCACCGTGCCATCGGATCGCCAGCTCGGTATCTCGGAGGAGTCCTCGATGATTGCGTCATCAGGGAAGCCGTTTGACGGTGGAGTCTCAAAGTCGCCGTTAATTACCAAGCCTTGGAAAAAAAGGATTCCGGTAGAACAAGAAAGTTAGTTCATTATTAATTGAGAAAAAAGGGAATAATTACGGAATTTAAGAAAATTGTGTCAGAAAATAAAAATGATGTATTACAATTCGTTGGTCCCTTAATAACAACAATAGATATTTCATCTTTTACGTACATTTTTGGACCATTCATTCTCTCAAGAATTTGTAATCTAGACAAATAATATCATCTCAAACTAATATTTTCAACTCTCGCGTTTCTCGTGAGCTCACATTTATCAGGCACGGTAATTAAATTATCTGTATAGTGTATACAAAAGGAGAAAAAATACGATGAAACCAATAAAAAAGCAAAAGTAGTGAAGGCAAGACACGAGAATTGAACCATTTTAATCTCTTGGTCCCAAGCATTAACTTTAGTGGGGACTCTAACATTCGTATCATTACAATTTGTGGTCTTTATGTGACATAAATTATGTCTACACTCAGCAGTTACAACTTACAAGTGCCCTTTTCCTTAGGGAAGGTACATTTAGTTAGTTTTATGAAAGAAAGGATACAATTAGGGTTTTGTAATGCACATGGCGTGAAAGGTTAACTACAATTTTTAAGGGGTTAATGCTACTCTAATTCAGATTTCTAGAGTGTCAAAACAGATGATTTAACTCGAAGACTTGAATTGAATCCAACTGTCTCTAAGTATAGAAGGATCTAGAATAATCTAGAATATCTTTAAATATATTTCTAATAATTATCTCATTTATGTATTTGTGTATATTAGGAAACTAGATTAATTAGGTTTACCTTTCTCTTCTTTATATAAACATATGTATCATAACCTTTATCATTATGAGAGTCAATATACTATTCTTATGATTCTAAACTCTCATCAATCTCTACATGGTATTAGAGCCACAATGATCTAACGATCGGCTCCGTTCCTGAATCTAAGCCAAGAGCTTTTTCTTTTTATTTTTGTGTTTAAGCCAAGTGCTTCCAACATTCAAGTTCATCATGAACCTCTGAATCTAAGCAAAAATGCTTCTAATCATTCAAGTCTAACCATAGACCTCTGAATCAAGCCTAAGTGCTTCTAAAATCAAGCCAAAGTGCTTCTTTTAATTTTTTTTTTTTCTGCAATTTAAAAAAAAAAAAAAAAAATTCCGTTTTATATCTTCAAAATATCTTTGTTTTTTATTTTATTAAAAAAAAAAAAATAACAACAACAAAAAAAAAAAAAATCATCGTGGTCTTCTTCTTCAAGACAAGGTTCATCACCTTTTGTGGCGTCGTCCACCACCACACCACCTTGATCTGACCTACCTTGCTTCACTCAACGTTCATTTCTCGAGACAAGGTTCCTCGATCTCCGCTGCACTTTCAACATGTCGGCGTGGGCAATTCACGTTGACATTTTTCTCAACGCCTAGTCATCTCGTCTTCGCAACTTCTCGGTTTCTTCACTATTTCTATTTTGCAAGTCAATCTCAAGCTGTTCATTCCGACGTTCTCCATCACCGCCTTGAGATTGAGGGGGCGTATAGAAGGATCTAGAATAATCTAGAATATCTTTAAATATATTTCTAATAATTATCTCATTTATGTATTTGTGTATATTAGGAAACTAGATTAATTAGGTTTACCTTTCTCTTCTTTATATAAACATATGTATCATAACCTTTATCATTATGAGAGTCAATATACTATTCTTATGATTCTAAACTCTCATCAATCTCTACACTAAGGACTTGAGGACTTTTCTATTCTTTTACCCAGGATGGCCTACAACTATACTAAATTAACGAAAACACCCAAAAACTTTTAATTTCTTTCTGATTGTGATGGACTAGATTGGGATTAGCATATTTTTACCATATGATTAATGAGACAGTCATGAGTTTTAAACCCAAGATTACAAGCCGAATAAAAAAAAGTCTTAATGCTGAGCAACAGAGGACTAAGAAGAAAGTGAGATCGGGGATAAAACCCTAGAACCCAACTCTAGAATTGAAGGTGAATATCATCAGTAAACCGTTTTTTGTTAGACACAGATCTGTAAGTAAACCGTTTTATAAAGGAAGAGCTAAGTACTACTACAGGCCATGGTGGATCCTCTGTTCTTGAAACAGAGAGAATGAGTCAGGTTTCCGAAATCAAATAACCACAGAAGAAAAAAGAATCATGCTTTCGTCAACCCATTAACACTATGAGCAAATACCCCACACGTAGTATAACCAATAACCCCCCAAAAAAAACAAGTAAAATGATGAGATAATATTAGTGAACAGCGTACCGTCTTCGACCGGTAAAGTTTTGCCGGCGGAGTCTGCGGCGGCGACGATGGAGAGACCAAGTAGAAGTATTAAAATGGAAACCAATCTCCAAGTACTGTAGTTGTATAGCACCATCTTTCTCTCTTTCTCTGTGAATAGTGGAAAGTGTTTCTGCAATGTTCTTTTTGGGCAGTGTGAGCAAGAAAGCTGGGAAGTGTAGTGTCCTTTTAAACAAAATCCTCCCAGCTGTTCTTTTTATTCCATTAGTTTTTATTATTTACATTCGGAATAATAGTTAAATCGAACTCAAAAAAACCATTGAGATTTTGTAGGATTTGTTAAAAAATAGATAGAGAAGTGTATCCATTTCGGGACCCTCTTGACCACAAACCGCGTGGTGGTCGTAGTCATTGGTCTACACGACCGTGGCTTTACTTAGGTTCTCTCTTACTCATTTATCTAATATGGACCACTGAGCACTTTTCTTTTCTTTCTTTTTATTTGTAAGACATAGCCATTTGTCTTTTACTCTTTAGATCAGTTCAAGGCTAGACGAAAAGAACAAGTGGGTAGGCTTCTTGCAACATCTTTTTTTTAGAGATGGAGGAAAGGGACATCTTTTAGATATTTGAAGAAAATGGCTGGTTTAAGTAGATTCAGAGACACTCAAATGTAATGGTGAATGAGTGTTTCAAGAAGGTGAAAAACAAAGCTCAAGTACCCAAGATATATTAGGTTACATTAACATTATCACTAGATGTTGCTAAAAACATACTGTTTCTTTGCATAAATGTTTTCAGTCAAACCGTCAACCCTGACATGGATGCATATGTAAAGACGAAGAGAGACTGACGATTCTGTCAAAACCTTAAACCATATGGTTGATCATTGATGTTGTCTGTTTTCTCAATACTTGAACAGCTTAGATGCTGAGTGCTTTCACCTTACTATACAATACCTTGTCAATCTAAAGTGTTGTTTACTTGTAGCTAGATTTTGGTTGACCATCCCAAATGACACATTAGCATATAAATTTCATATGAAATTACTATGTTTTGGTGTTTTAGTTAAGTGAGTTTCCCCTCCTATTCAGCATTGTCCCTGACTTAGCGTAGGAAACTGGCTCAGAGTTACCACTAACTTCCTCAACATTATATAGTGCAATCTAAATTGCTCATACGCTTTAACCTTTTACTTAACAATGCATCAGACTCCAAGTCTATGGCCTTATGACTTGGTTTTAACATACTTAATTCAACCACAAGTGCGACAATAACTACAAAACCGAGATCATTAAAAAGAAGCAAGATTTGTGACTTTGTTTAACTTATTCAACGAGAATTGCTAGAATCCTGAGTAAGATAGTAAACAAAGAGAGCAACACTAGTGAAAAGCAAACTAAGTTTTGCAATGGTGTTAAAATGATTCCACCATCAAACAAACAGCTACTTTGGTAATTGTATTTACCACAAAATTCAGTAGCCGCAAAAGTTCTTTGTTTTCCTTGCTCCCATTTCTTCAGAATCATCTTCTTCCCTGAAACAAATCATCATTCATTCATCATCATCTAAGTAACTAACATACACATAACAATAAAGAGAATAAAAAAAAACTAACTTTGGATCAGTCACATAATGCAGCTACCAAGACGACTTCTTGATTCCCATCAAAGCACCTTTATTTGCTAATCCACGGAAAACGATTCGAGACACACGAAAAAGCTCCGTCACAGAACGAGATCGACCAGTGAACACACATCGGTTTCTGATACGCGCAAAGGCACTGTTTCTCGGTAATTTCGATAGCTTATAACGATTCTTGTCTCGCATCTCGCTGGGAAGATCTGGATCTTTGCAAAATGCTTTGTAGAGCTTTCTTCTCAGTTCGAATCTAGCCGCGAGCAATCTACGTCTGTGATCGGCACTGTTTCTCTTCACGCCTTGCTCTGTACCACTATGCTTCGGTCCCGATTTCATAAGCGTTGTTGTGAAATGTCTAGCTTGAATTTGACCGAGATTGTTCGGATGCTTCACCACAGATCGGGACAACAGCTCCGACGTAGAATGCGACGATTGAGTGAGAGAACGCTGGCAATAGGAAATTACGTTGAGCAGGACTCCTCGGAGACTCGCCATTGATTCGGGAAATCGGAGAAACGCCGCCGCGGAAATGGTTTTAGGGTTCTCTTTTGAGGAAGAAAGCAAATTTCAGATTCACAATCACTCGAGTAACAATGATTGGGCTTTATTTCACTTCTATTCGGCCCACTAAGAGCTCGTCTACTTTAATAGTAAGACTTATTTTTCTTTAACATATAGTGTGCATTGTGCCAATTTAGTTTTGATTTATTTATATGATACATTATTTCCTTTCTTGATCATATTTTTCAGCATACATATATTCAAATTTGTTTCAACATGAAAATATTAGATGTTTTTGGGTCTAGTTTGATGTATTGTTTCAAGAGTATCATTATTTATGTACCAAATCTTGAATAATAACACTATATATTTCTTGAAATTATTGAAGTTTATCTTCCATCGATCGTTTTATCTTTGATTAACTTCAATTTTCTTTTGTTGCCGTCTTCGATTTCTTGCTTGAGAGACTCCATAACTTTCTTGAACTCATCAAATGTGACTTGTTCAATCTCACATTCTTCTGAGCTTCCAGGCCATTGTAGACCAATTTGAATATCTCTGAACCTGTTGAATGTCTCCTCTACTTGCTTCATAGGATCACCTCGAAGGTAATGGATTATAGACTGAGAGATAAAACGACATTGACAATAAGCAAAACAAGACTTAACATTTTACCAAACAAAAAAGCAAAAAATCAGGAATTTAAGGATATATATATATATATATGTGTGTGACTTGCCTGATATAGAGGACGTCTTGCATCTGTTATGACTTCATCCTCTAAACACTTACATTTTGAAGCCTCTTCAATGTTTCCCTATTTAAAGAAATAAGTTATTTTAAAGATGGTGAAAACGTATCATGTATATAAAAATATGAAATTAGAGAGCAAACCAAGTAGATCAACATCTCCACAAGCAACATCTCAATCTCATAAGCCTCGTGACCTTTCCCTTCTTTTCTTGCTTTCTCCAGTGCTTTCTTCAATAGCTCCACTCCGTTTGCTTCTTTTCCACTCATTTCCATTTTCACAATGTCTCTCTGCATGAGGGAGATTACTTAGGAACCCAACGAAGTGCAATTTGACCCGAAAGAGCAAAAAAGTATTTGTATATGAACAACCTGAAGCAACCCAAAGTCAGGGTTTTCCTTGGAAAGCAATGCTTCAAATTCTATCTCAGCATTCGCAAGGGAAGAAGTATCAACGCGGTATGAGTGCAAATCAAGCAATCTCTGTAGTGCTAATTTTCCTCCTCGAATAGCTCCCATTGAAACAGATTTTGAGAGGGTTCTTTCATCTCTTCCTGAAGAAGCCTCCTTACCCATGTTTTTAGCATTACCATCTCTTCTTTGTTCTGAAACGCGTTTTCTGATATCCCGATGACTATTTTTATCGTCTTTCTTTCTCCACAAACCATGATTTATGTAGTTCCAAGCGACATATGCACCAGCAAGGAGGAAGACAGGTGCAAGTGCTGCTCCATACTTGGTCTTCATGCTGAACTTGTTCTTAGACTGATTCACCATATACTTGCCTAAATTATCTATTGGAATGACAAATATTAAAAAAAAAATCTTCTTGAAACTTTCTTTTATACACAAGGACAATCGGATTGCAAATGGAAGAGGAAAGCATTCAAGTTATTCTAATGTTAGTCTTGCATCATAGGTAAAGAAGTTATTATACTTTTACCGAGGAGACACACTGAACAAAGAATATTTCCAAGTTTCCAATACTCTAGAAAAGAATAATACTGTCTTAATCAAAGTAAAACCTACACTAATCTTCGAATTTTTCTTAAAATATTATAAAGCATTTGTCTTGTAATTCCGAAAAAGAAAGGACACCAAAACAGAAAATAAAATCGAGAAACCGTGACTATATATCCAAATCTTTGATGCCTTTTTCAAATTGAAGTTTCTTTTGTCTGAAGTAATAAATTGATGCTTTCCTTCACAAACCTAAAACTCTCAAATGTTCTATGCATGTGGAGAAACTAAAAATTTAAGAACCAATTCCTAACACAGAGATCAACCAATGCAATAAAAATCCAATTTTATTATCATTTTGACTCATAGGAAGAAAAATGGCTTCAACATTTCTTCTAGGCCATACTCAGAAACTCACACTTCCTTTTTCTAATTTCACTTCCACACATAAACCAACTCTTAGATCTCAAAGTCAAAACCCTTATATTGGCTTCCCCTCCAATGGCGGTCGAAGCGGCTGTTTGTTCATCAGATCACCAATCACGGTCGCCAAATCAAACAGCAAAAGTGATTATCACGATGATAAAAAGCTCTTTACGCCATTAAAAATGGCAGCAGGAGCATCCCTAGCACTAGCTTGTGCCTTAAGTATCTTCGGGTTTAAGATAAAGAATATGAGCTACACTGCTGCCGCAGCTGCCAATCCAAGCGCCGCCGACATGATCATATCCGGGAAGCCGACTTCAGCCGTATCCGCTACTTCCGGTATGTATCCTTTGCCAGCTAAGTTTGCATTGCGGTCTCTCTTTGAAGTAAGCTCAATGCTTGCTTCGGCTAAACCCATTCCTTCTCAAAGGCCATTTAATCTTCACAAGCTCCCTTCTTTGCCTTCAAAGGAAGATATTGATTCCATTAAGGTACAATCCGCAAACTTATAAATATTATTTCCAATATTTTAGTGTCACCTGAGTTCATGATCCTCTAGACCAAGACTAGCTAGGCGTGTTGAACCAATTCAAACGGCCGGATTATTCGGTTTTGTTTTTCTTATTACCCAAAAATTTAAGTTATAAAAATCTAATATAAAAAAATTGAAACCAAAACTACATTTATTTAATTATGTAGACTTCCTCTAATCTCAGTTCGGTCTTATCTTCATACTAAAGTGAAATTATGAAAATATGATGTAAGCTTTTACAATTTCGACGCGGTGATGTAAGCTTTTACAATTTCGACGCGGTCGGATGTAAGATGTTTACAAATTATAAAAATAAACTCAAAATGTTTTTTCAAAACAAAAAATTTGACACCAATACCATATTCAAGTTAAAATCTCATAGGATGCATGGAAATGTAGCGTGCTATATATACCCATAACATCAAATCATAAATTTAAATAAATAAAATAAAAAAACTAACTCAATGAATTTAAAATTGTGGGAAATATAGATGGAGGCGGTACGGAAGATGAAGGAAGGAAAATGTGAGGAGGCGGTGCAGCTCCTTCGTGACGCAAACATGCGATACAAAAACGAGCCTGAGGCCGACTTCAACGTGCAGATGGCTCTCGTTGAGATTTTAATATTGCTGGTATTTCTCATATAATCTTTTGTGCATGCAGCTGGTCTATAATTTAATCTCATATGTGTTAAAACAAAATTATTGTCTATGATTAATGGTTAGTTTATTTGGACGATATTCCAGGAAAGGTATCAAGAAGCTGCTGAGTATAGTTGTCTAAATGACGAGAATGCCCAGATTTCTGATGTTCGGATCCCTCTTTATAAGGTTCGTACGTGAACATAATAACATCCCTACATTTATTTCTTGATTAATATTAGTCGAAATTTTATCGACATGTTTTAGCTGTTGAAATTAATGTCGGTTTCAAAAGCACAGGCAATTATATACACGATGCTAGACAAAGATACTGAAGCCAAGCAGTGTTGGAAAGAGTTCAGAAAATCTATTGGTGAAGGATTTGACCCTTTCAGCTTCGAAGAATAATTAATACTTGTAGATCGATCTATTACCTAAAAATTATTGTCATCCCTAAAACATTTTTACCACCAGCAACTAGTGGTGAATAAATTAAAAAATGTTCGAATGTTAGAAAAAACTTCAATCATTCCTACGGATATTCTTCCATTGTTGCACTCGCTCACGTTGAATTTGATTTTATGCAATATCTTAAGTGACTAGTCACATGAATATTGTTCTATGTTTTTTTTTTTTTTTTTTACAAAAGGCTTATTCTTCTTTGTTGTTGGGCAATGTACTGCATGGTTTTTTTATCAAAAGATTGATATCTCTTTAGAAAGATTGTTTGAAGCTGGTAAAGATAACAACCAACTATATATATATGAATATATCAGAGTTGACCAAAAAGAACATAAAAATTGAACAGATGATTATGGTAAATGGTAACCAACAAGTTGAATAAATATTTAACATAATAATTATTAAAAATAATTTCTTTATTTAGTTTATAAATTTCATTTTAAATTAATGTTTTATATAAAATTTAAAATAAAATATAGTAAAAATTCAAATATTTTATTTAAAAATATATAAATTTCACTTGAAAGCATTTATTTATTTATTTTAGTATAAATAATAATTTAAAATAAAGTGATAGTATTATTTTAAATCAAAATTTTTGATAAAGGTTTTTTATATATAAATATATAATAAAAATATGGAAAATAGTTATACATAGAAATGTAAATATTATCATAAAAGTTATTTTAAAATTATTTAATAATTAAAAACGAATTTTATAATTTTGTTCCTCTTTGTTCTTCTGCAATTTTGGGTAGGAACAATTTTGTTCTTTAATATAGTGTTGACAAAAGAAAAAGAAAAAATAGACTAAAGGCATATGTCTATATCTTCGTATTCTTCAAATTTTATATGATATCTATAATCTTATTCCTATCTACGTTTTTTATATATGTTGAAATTAAAGTAAAATATATATAAAGTGCTATCCAACAACGTTTTAAATTAAAAATGTTTCACAAAGTTTGGGCTTGAATCGGTGAGGTGAGGTCCTTGAAAATGGTGAGCATTCAATCACCACCTAGAGAACAAGTTGGGCGAATTATATATATAGACATGATCAATCTCTTTGCTGTACAACAATATCTTTTAGATCATGGTTATAGATCCATTGTATAAAGCAAACTACGAACACCCGAAGATATATGCATTTCCGAGGTAAACGTATATATATAGTGTCACCGCCGAAAAGTAGATTCTAGCTGAAATATATTTATACGAAAATATTGAGTGATCTATGATTCGCATAACCTAATAATCCGACAGAAATATAGTCTCCATTTATAGAAAAAAAAAAAAAAAAGACAAAGCATGTTAATAATAGAAGAAACACGCATTCGTACGTTCCAAGTAGACGCGGAGAAGTAGGTTGAGCACAAAACAACATCACAACCACGTGACGTGTAGACGTTCAGTTTTTGACGACTCAGCGTGACTTCACACAATCACTCATCATTTTGCCACACGTGTTGATAGGGGTTTACTCCAAAATATCAAGGAAAAACAAATCGACGTCGACCGAATCTTATAAAACTAAACATAGGATATACAAATCGATCGATGTCGACCGAATCTTACAAAACTAATCATATGATATACAAATCTGACGTCGACTACAGTACCTCAAACTCTAAACAACATGTCAACAACAGTACTCTTAACGTTGTTACGTATATAAATGTGATGTCGTATTACTGGAGATTTATACGTACATGCAGTCCATATACATATATATACGTACTGCGCATGGGCAAACTCTACAAGAAAATAAAAATAAAAAAAAAAAGGAAAAAAGAGTTGAGATATGTGGATACTAGACCTACACCTCCACGAGTCAAATTAACATGATCACCTTTTCTACAAAATACTTTCTGTAATTTTGTTTTCTTTGTATTAATTCTGACCAACTAATCTTCTACGTCTAGCTAGTAGTGATACTTCTTCGTTTGAAATGAAATTCATTTTAAAGTAATTTTTACAAAATAGATGTCAACAACTTTTTTCGATGCTACTTTTGAGAACTCTCCTTTAAGTGTTTTATATTTTATAATAACAAATATTTTTTAAAAATAAACCTAATTGATATGATAACAAATTAAGTTTATGTTTTATAAAACATATATTTTCGTATGAATGTAGCCTAATGATTTATGTTTATGCTTTGAATGGTGACCAACCAAAAAAAAAAAAGAATGAGGAGACCATGTATTCATCTGCATTTCTCAAAAATTACACCATTTAAAAATATCATTTGCTACTTATGGATACCACATAATTTATTTCTGGGGAATTATGGAACAAAAGTATTCCTATCAAATATGGGGAGAAACAATAAATAAATAACATACAATTATAACATTTTGATCTAATAATAAGAATATGGTTTCCATAATATATTTCAAGAAAAGTAAATGATTATTATATTGGAAATTAATTTTTGGTAAATAACTCTAATAAAAAACTAAGAAGAAATATGTTCCAAAAATAATTTCAGATTCACATAAATATTATGATCTCTCTATTTAAATTAATTATTGATAACTAGTTAATTTCTTAAAGATGTATTTCTACATGAAACCAAATTTTAAAAGTTAAATTCAAATTTTAATATTGCTATTATGTATTTAATTTAAATTAATATTGAAAAGTGATATTAAAGATCTATATAATTCCATTAAAATTTATGTTCAATATAAAATTATTATGATATAATTACTTAGATTTTTACTCCATTTCTCTGTATTATACTTCCCATTCCATAAATATTTATTTAATTTCTCTTCATTCATCTTTCTCCCCATTTTTATTGTTAATGTTAGTGGTGTCATCACTTGAAGATCACTCGCATTCAAAGCATAAATTACCGGATTAAGATATATAAATTATTTATGATTACCAAATAAAAACCTAATAAAGTATGGAGCGAATAAAATTAAAAATGATAGAATCGTAACTAATCAAAGAATATATTATTTGTTAAGTAAAAAAGGAAATTAGAAAAGATATAGGGCCTGATTGGCAAGTGTTTTACAGTCTTTACAAAGCAAAAAAATTTCTAAAGATTTGAAATACATCCAATCAAGCTTTAGAAGCTTTGGCTTTCCTTTTTTTTCTCACATCCAAAATATTTCCTTAATTCACTTTTTTGGCTGTAGAAAGCCTTTTTTCCTAAAGCACATAATTTTCAACTTTCCAAAATTTTAAATTCTATAACCAAAATTCTACAACAATAAAATCTACAGCCACAACAAATAAACCTACAGTAATATTTCTACAGCAAAAAATGTAAAGCTACAACTGTTACCAATCAGGCCCATACTAAACTTTGTTTGTCCAAAAAATAGAAAGGAAAGATATATCAAACAAATTAAAAGAAATTCCATTACATTTCCAGTATATAATCCCCCTAAAAAAAATCTATAAAAGCAGTTACCAAATTGGAAAAATTAAAATAACCAAAAACAGAATAAAAAAATCAAAAGAAAAATGTGAACAAAAAATCCTCTTCCCTACAAGCCTACACACAACAAGCGACTATAAAATACTGCTAAGAAGACACCCTTTTCACCAAATTCACTCTCTTCGCAACAATCTTTATTCTTCAAAGTTTTGGTTTAATAGACCAAAAGAGTAGACCATGGTAATTGTCTTACAGCCAGCCACTTTTGATAGCAACCTCTATGTTAACCCAAAATGCAAACCGAGTCCGGTTTTAATCCCTGTTATAGACTTAACCGACTCAGACGCCAAAACCCAAATCGTCAAGGCATGTGAAGAGTTTGGGTTCTTCAAAGTCATCAACCATGAGGTCCGACCCGATCTTTTGTCCCAGTTGGAGCAAGAAGCCATCAAGTTCTTTGCTTCGCCTCACTCTCTCAAAGACAAGGCAAGTCCACCCGACCCGTTTGGATACGGTACTAAACGGATCGGACCCAATGGTGACGTAGGCTGGCTTGAGTATATTCTTCTTAATGCTAATCTTTGCCTTGAGTCTCACAAAACCACAGCCGTTTTCCGGCACACCCCTGCAATTTTCAGGTATGACAATATGAACCCAAAAAACTAAACGTTTCTTTCGTCTTTCACAAGTTGTTTTAAACAAAAACAGAGCAATATGATCTTGATCATTCTCTTTTTGTTTTCTTTTTCCGATATATTTAATGTTTACTAATTAGAAGATGAAAACATAATAAAAAAAAACTCGAAAACTATAGTTTTCTACGTCAATCATTTCCGGAAAACCCCATGAATTCAGAGTTACCATGTTTAACGGCGAGAAACATGGGATTGTCTGTTTTTTTCTCCGATGAATAAGGCTTAAATCAATCCAGAATTTGATCAATGATTTTTAAAAAGATTTCATACTTGGAAAATTTTCAGTTTATTCTACAAGAAATAACTCAAAAATCTAAAAACAATCTAAATTTAGTTTCAGTGTTGACATGTCCTTAAACCTTTAACCCAAAAGAAAAATGTCCTTTAACCGAAAATACAAAATAAAATAAAATAAAAACAGAGATCCCTGTTCTGTTCTTTAACAAACATATTTGAATTGTAACAGAGAGGCAGTGGAAGAGTACATGAAAGAAATGAAGAGAATGTCGAGCAAAGTTCTTGAAATGGTAGAGGAAGAGTTAAAGATAGAGCCAAAGGAGAAGCTGAGCCATTTGGTGAAAGTGAAGGAAAGTGATTCGTGTCTGAGGATGAACCATTACCCGGAGAAGGAAGAGACTCCGGCCAAGGGAGAGATTGGGTTCGGTGAACACACTGATCCACAGTTGATATCACTGCTCAGATCAAACGACACGAAGGGTTTTCAAATCTGTGTCAAAGATGGAACTTGGGTCGATGTTTCACCTGATCACTCCTCTTTCTTCGTTCTTGTCGGAGATACTCTTCAGGTACTCTTTCTGTTGCTGCTTCTTTTATTTCTTTATTTATCACAACTATTAAAAACCTTACTATTTATGAGATACCATTTAAAATTCTATAAACCAAAATATTTTGAAAATTGTTAGATTTATTGCAGTTTCAGAACTTTATGTAACTAATAATAACTTAAAGAATTTCAAACATTTTTTATTTGGTTAAAGATTTTTCTTTAACATTCTCTCTAATGCTTTGTTGAATATATGAAGATTATTTTCTAGATAAAAAATAATAAAAAATCATGTAGAATATAGGGTTTGGACTTCCATAGTTCCATTTAGTTATGGTGGGTCTAGAAACTGAAAATCTATCTATTGTACGATCATATATTACCCTCACGTGACAACTAGTAAAATCTTAATATGATGAGCATTCATGAGCATGAATCTAACGTTCTTTTTTTGTCCTCGCCTTTTGAAACATTATCAGTCACTTATTACCACTATATATAGATTATTGGGTCACAACACAAATTTATATGTCTAATAGTTTGTTGAGGGCTTTTTGACAATTAATGCAGGTGATGACAAACGGAAGATTCAAGAGTGTGAAACATAGAGTGGTCACTAATACAAAAAGGTCAAGAATATCGATGATCTACTTCGCAGGTCCTCCTTTAAGCGAGAAGATTGCACCATTGTCATGCCTTGTCCCAAAGCAAGATGATTGCCTTTATAATGAGTTTACTTGGTCTCAATACAAGTTATCTGCTTACAAGACTAAGCTTGGTGGCTATAGGCTTGGTCTCTTTGAGAGACCACCTCCATTTTCTTTATCCAGTGTTTGAGGCTATTATTATTTTTGGTTTTTGTAAGTCCCAACAAGAATAACAAGCTAGAGAAATAGATAAGCTTTTTATGCTTCTTATAATCAGGCCCATATAGGCCTAATTAGACATCTCTTAGGGATTTTCAAAATATTAGCTTGTGGGTCGAATATTATTTTGTAAGCCTTCAAATCCTCTTTTTAAGCCAAGTCCATTATCGAAGACGAACAAGTCGCAATCAGGAATCTGTGATAACAAGATTGGTAAAATTTCTGGAGTTGTTGTTATCACATTCGTAAAAGTAACAGGAAAAAAAAAAAAAAAAAAAAAAGAAGAAGAAGAAGAAGCATGTAGCAAGCACGTCTTAATTGTGTTCCCGGGTTCTATGGTTATTGATAGTTGGTCGTATTAATTAAAGCAAGCATGTAATCTTTGTGTTTTGTTTTCGTTGTGATTTGTTTTAAATAACACTTTTAACTGTATATCCCACAAACTAGTAGTAGAATTAGAATGCCTCGCCTTGTTAAGAAAACAATAAAACGATACTACAGTAGAACTTTTATAAATTAAATAATTAATACTCGATAAATTAATAAACACTATAAATTAATAAAATTGTCCGGTCCCAAGTCGGGCCAATGTAAAATTTGACAAAATTCGATAAGATAATAAAATAATATTTTTTTTAGAATTTCTATATAAATATATGGTCTCATTAATATCGTAAATTAATAATCATGTAAAAATATATATATATATATATATATTGTTATATTACAATATGCTTTTAGTTATTTTTTATTAAATTGAATATTCTTTAAAACATATGTCTGACTTTTATTGAATAAAAAAATTGGTCTATTGTAGTTTTAAATTATATTGGTGTAGTATACTCTATAACTGTAACATAAAATAGTCAAGATTTTCTGTAAATTTTTAATTTTTGAATATGCATCATTTTCATTACGATAGTCTTATAGCTGTTAAAATACAACAATATAGGTCACTAATCATAAATTTGAATTTACGTGTATCGTTTGTATAAATAAATTCATCTATAGTCTTTATATTTCTATTATCTAATTTATTTTTGATTTTTTTTTCTTTCAAACTATTAAAATTTTAAGTCCAAAACTACAAAATTCATTTCTTTCTAAATTTTTAAGAATTAAAACATATATCTTTATAAATTAACAAATATTAATTTATAAATAAATTAAAATCACTATAAATTAATAAAATATCACGGTCCCAATAATATTAATTTATAGAGGTTTTACTGTTTTTGTTTTTTGGAAATTCAATGTCACGTCAGCACCAAAGCCATGATGTTATCGATTTGTCACAAAAAAATTGTGTTGGGAACCAATATGGTTAATCAACGGTAAAATAAAGAAAAGTACAAATAAAGTTGAAATATTTGTCTACCATTTTTAAAGTGGACCAAAAATAAACGCCAGTTTTTTTTATAAAATAGTGTAAACTGTAAAGTAGAGTAATACTATTTGTTAACATCATACTCTGATCGGTGATTAGCCAGTTGAAATGAGAGTAAATTTTTTAATTTAATTTTATTTGTGGTAATCAGTCACGTGCAGTCTATATATACCGTGTAAACTTTTTGTAAAATATAGAAAAAATGTCAAAATAAAATCAAAACGGGAATTTTGTTTTTTGTAGTTTAAAATAGAAACGACATTTTATTGTGACGCCATAGAAAACAAGAATCTACGGATCTGATTTGGAAATGTGATTCCAAACTTTTAGAAATAATAATAATTACAGATTTTTTGCTAATTGTTGTCCAACTGTGTAGCACGTGCCTGTTGGTTGATGTATGTTGTATGCGAGAGAGAGAGAGAGAGAGAGTGTTCAACTCTCTCCATCCATCAGACATCTCTTTGTTTTCTTCGTCTTCTCTTCTTGAGCTTTGAGATCTATCACACAAAAGATGGCCACCGATGAGCCTTCTCAAACTCGCTGGAGCTTTCTGGTAAAACTCACTCACTCACTCTCTCTCTCACCTTCTCTATTATCACCTTACTTTAGTAGTTCAATGTCCCAAATCGAAGTCAAACTCTTCAATATCACAGCTTAGAGTTTTTGTCTTTTTTTTTTTCTTTTTTTCTGACACGAAAATGGTCACTTTCAATGACCCTATAGTGATCAACGAACCTGTTTCGATTTCTCTGAATTCAAAGCAATGAGTTTGGAGAATTGATCGATTTGTTCAAGAAAATCTATGTATTTATTAGGAGTTTAAAACGTTTTATGATGCCAAGTTTGGGAGGAAGAAGCTGCCTGAAGAAGACGAATCCAACAAGGACCAACCAGAAGATGGATCATCCAACGGTGATGTCAACACCAACTCTTCCCAAGTCACCAATCAGGTGATTTTGCCTTTTTGCCTTCCTGGAATCTTTGAAATGCTTCAAACAGTAAATGGTGTGTGTTCTTTGTCCTGAGATGATCAAAGTTATAAGATTTATGATGATTGCAGGATGGTAACACAGGCTTGGCCAATGGCAATGTGATTCGCGAGAAGCCGTAAGATCTATGCTTTCCTTTTGCTTTTTCTTCTTAGCTCTTTCTTCATAGTGAGGTTTTGTTTTAGTCTTGGTTCTGAGGAATGGTTAGCATTAGCTGATACATGACCAGAAAGATTCATGGAATGAAAAAAACTAAATGTCTCTTTAATGTTCTTCTGCAGGAAAAAGTCCATGTTTCCCCCATTTGAATCTGCGGAAACTCGTACTCTCGCTGAGAGTTTGAGTAGGTAAGTCATTGTGGCTACTGATACATTTTTGCTCTTGGCATAATGGTATTGTTGTTTTGATGAATTGGTGTGTTTCAGAGATATCATCCGTGGGAATCCAAATATCAAGTGGGAAAGCATCAAAGGGTTGGAGAACGCAAAAAAGTTGCTCAAAGAAGCTGTGGTGATGCCTATAAAATACCCCACGTATGTCATCTAAGCCATTCTTGCCAATGTAACTTTCAGTTTATATTGGTGTTTGAATCTCAACTTCTGATTTCAGGTACTTCAATGGTCTACTAACTCCATGGAAAGGAATTCTTCTTTTTGGTCCTCCTGGTACCGGAAAGGTGCGATGATTCTATCTCGAATGTGTTTTTACTTACGGAATTCTTACTCTCTCTTCAGTCTCCATAAGCTTGCATTCAAACTCATATACCTCACCAAACCATTAACCAATTTCTTGAGCCTACCCCAACAATTCTAGATCATGAAAAGTATATTTTCTTGTTGCATAACAGCCTTATTCGTCTTCTGCAGACTATGCTTGCAAAGGCTGTTGCTACAGAGTGCAATACAACATTCTTCAATATCTCAGCCTCATCTGTTGTTAGCAAATGGAGAGGTGAAATCTTCTTTACCTTTATTTATTTACTCTAACCATGAAATAAGATGCAGTCTTTTGGAGTAATAAAATTTTGGAATTTTGATCTTGTGTTTTGATGTTTTTCAGGTGATTCTGAGAAGTTGATAAGAGTTCTGTTCGATCTAGCTAGGCATCATGCACCTTCGACAATATTTCTTGATGAAATCGACGCGATCATAAGCCAACGTGGTGGTGAAGGCCGCAGTGAACATGAAGCTAGCAGGCGTCTAAAAACCGAGCTGCTCATTCAGGTAAAATACTCAAAACTTATCTGTCTCACAAAGTTCATTATATTTCCGGACCATCAGTAATAAACAGGTTCAAATTTTTGCAGATGGATGGATTACAGAAAACAAATGAGCTCGTATTTGTTTTAGCAGCAACAAATCTCCCCTGGGAACTAGATGCAGCTATGCTCCGGCGTTTAGAGAAACGAGTATCCTTTTTTTTACTCTTTTATTATAAAAAACTGCTTCTATCATGATTTCCCTTGGTTTTTGGCCTCAACTACTGAAACCATTAGATTCTTGTACCTTTACCGGACCCAGAAGCAAGAAGAGGAATGTTCGAGATGCTCTTGCCGTCACAACCAGGCGATGAGCCATTGCCTCATGATGTGCTGGTTGAGAAATCTGAGGGCTACTCTGGTTCAGACATTAGAATACTTTGTAAGGAAGCTGCGATGCAACCACTGAGACGCACGTTGGCTATTTTGGAAGACAGAGAAGATGTTGTGCCTGAAGATGGTAAAATCTCTCCAGAAAAGAATCCATCATTGACATAGTTTACCTTTAAAAACTGCAGAATCTTTGACATTATTAGTTTTGTATTGTAGAGCTGCCAAAAATTGGACCCATCCTACCAGAAGACATTGATCGAGCTCTGAGTAACACTCGACCATCGGCTCATCTGCACGCCCATCTTTACGACAAGTTCAATGATGATTATGGTAGCCAAATTCTTAAGTAAAATTGATGCTATATAATACATCTATGTCATCTAGAACTTGATCATTATTTGTATGGAAGCATTCACATTACGGATGCTCAGAGAACTTTTCTGTCTTAAATTATGAATAAATGCTCCTACTTGCTTGGGACTCAGTTTCAGGGTATTATTTTCATATTTTTGGGGAATTTTTTTTTTTTTTTAAAGTTGGCTTCTTCTTAGTCTTTACCAGATTTATAAATATGGGAGTCTCGGTTACACTGGTGACCAAAATTTTTGTATGCAGTAGAAAAAATAACGACTCAAGAAGTATTAAATATGAAACAACATCTTTTCACTCGCTTCTCTCCGGACCAGACTTTCCCTTTTTTGACCGTTTTCTTGACCTCTTTTTTGTATCGCTCTCGCCTTCTTTCTTTTCCTGGAGACCCAGAACAAAAATCGAATTTGTGTTAACAATGGAACATTTTACATTTTATTTGTAAAAACATACTGCAGCCAAATCTCTAATGTTACCTTTTGTGCACCAGAGTTAGAATCGGCTTTGGATTTGGATTGAAGTTTCTCTGAATTGTTCTCCTTCTTTTTCTTCATGCATGAAAGTGGGTTTGGACCCTGCAAAGTTTTCGGACAACAATGTTAGTTTCTTAATTGCTGAGGCACACAAGAAACAAAGAATCCTAATAAAGTTACGACTAACATTGTGAAGAGAGTGTCCATTACCTTGGCTCTATTTCGCTTGAATTGAGGTCTATCCTTCACACCAAGTCCATTTCTTGTAGAAACTACTCGAGGCATTCCCCATTCTTCATTTTCAATTGTTCCTTCTCCTCTATTAGAAGCTATGATTTTCGCAGTCCGTTTCACCAACAACTTTTTTTCTGTATCAGTCATAGTTAAGCGCTTATTTTCAGAGTCTTTGGCGGTCTGACGTTGGAAATCAGAAGGTTGATCGATCAGCAGTATGTTCCTTAAACCAAACACAAGAGGAACGATAGACTCCTGAAAGAGGAAACAACACACAGAGATTCACTGTATTAAAAACTCTGAAACCCTCACAAAAAAAATCCATCCTCTGATACAAAAAAACTCTGCTCATATCAAACTAACCTGCTGAAGCTTTCTCCTAAACTCCGCGTCCTGAGTACCAAGAAAGAAATGCTCAGAATTTTTCATACCTATCACCTCTGACAAACACTCATCTGCTGCTTTTGCCTCCTCGTGCTCACATCTAAATACTCAAATCGAAGCAAATCAATCACACATATATCATACAAAATTAAGGTCTGTCACATTAAAAAAACCTCAGTTTCTACACATTAACCTCATTATATTAGTTACACATATCAATTTCATATACATTATACAAAATCAAGCCTTAGAACTTAGAAAAATCCTCACTTTCTATACATTAAGCTCATCATAGATGAAATACAAAACTCAGCTCCGTGCCTTATGAATCAAATTAGAAATTTCCACAATCTACTAATTAATCTCACACCAAATCCTAAGAGACCAAAAGATAATGAAAAAAGAGAAGCTTACGTTGCTGTACTAAGCATCTGAGCAGCTTCCAGAGATTCCGCAAAATCTTTCCCCAATTTCTCCAACTCCGCAATCACACATCTATATAACAGCTCCAACGAAAAGCATGATTAGAAATTTGGTAAATTGATTTGAAACTCGTGAGAGAGAAGATGCTAAAGAGATAGAAACCTGGTGGTGAAGAGCTTGACGGGACCTCCGAGGAGTTCAGAGATAGCAGTGTCGGCGGGAGTGATCTCATTAGAAACAAGATGGTGGACGAAAGTGCCGTCGCAAAGGACTTTGTAGGGTTGTCGGAATCCATAACAGACCGTGAAGAATCTCACGGTTCTCCTGTTTTTCTTCTGCCTCTTCACTCTCATCTTCTCCTTCTCTCTACACTGCGATTTTTCAGAGCGCGAAGACGACGCTGGAATTAGGGTTTTAGTTTTTTTTTTTTTCGGTGGAGAGATAAACCGCCGATTTCGGGAGAGAAAACGTTTATTGGTTTGGAAAATTCGGTTTTTATTGGTTTGCTAGGTTCGGTTTGGTGAAATTGCCATCGTCATAAAATAATATAAAAAACAATTACTTGATTTTTTGGGGAGATTGATATGATAAGCAAAAACAAATAATTGGAAAACTAACTTATGTGGGAACTATTTTTGATTTTGTCCTAGATTTTGAACTGTTGCTAAGGTAAATATCTCAACTGAATTATCTCTTTATAAAGTTCATGTTATAAATAATTACTTTATTTTATGGTGTATATAAATATAGACAAAAGAGAGATTTGCTTATTACTTCTCTTGTAATTTAAGTAATGAAATTGTGTGTTACAACGATCGAATTCGATCCTTTATATATAAGGAGAAAAGTAAATCACTGTGTGTATAGTGACGGTGGACTCCACATAAATTACGTAACATTTATCATGTGTGTGCATATATTTTGACTTTGAATTTTGTAACAGTTCAATATATTTTGCAAAAATATTGGAGGCTAATAGGATTCTTCACTCGACCGCCAACTTGAACATTTAGCTAGAGAATCAAACAACTTGTTAGTTGTCATGAATCCAGTACTCTTGCATCCGAAGGTTCTACCGTGATAAACTACGGTTCCAGGTATCTGCATTTTAGCTGAGCTGGTTATCATTTGAAATTCCATTAGGAAAAACCGCAATGGTTGTTCACCAAATACAAACCAGAGTTCGTATTTTTTGTTTGTGGTAACTTTGTGCCCCAGAAAATAGCATGTTTATCTTTGTAGACCACTAAACTTTGATCCTCTCTGCCATTTCCACGAAATGAGACTAAAACACTCTTTTATGGCTAAAATGATCCAACAGTGTTCTCCAATGACTAGTTCACATTGATTAGACTAATTAAGATATGGTTTCTCTGAGAAGAGTATAATGAAGCTGTAGACAAAATGGAAAACATGTTTTCAAAGTACAGTTTGCCAATTAATTCTTAATTTGATCAGTTATATAGACCTAGAATCTCACAACTAATCATCATGCCCAAGATAATATGATATAGTTATCTCATATAAGCCTTTCCTATGTAATTCCCACAACCGTATTCATATACTTTTACATCTCTCTTCATACCTTAATTTGTGTTCTGCAGATAACTGTTCTTCTCATAAATTTCCTCGAACGTTGAGTTAAGCTGAGAAATCCAAAGATGATCAAACCTCACAATGCTACAAATCATTACTTAATCCAAAACAAGACACTGGCTTATATATAATTCACATTTAAAGTGTTCATATACATACCTCTTTGATTCGGTTTCTCAGGTTCTCGATTTGTAACCGGTTCTCTAATCTAAACCTCTCAACATTTTGCATAAACTCATTCATCTCTGAACATTTCACCTTGTAATACTTGTCCCTTTCTTCGTCTAACTCTCTCAGCTCTTCAACCTCACTCTTCAGGCTCCTATCCTCCAATACCATTCAACATAAAAACCAATCAATATCGATATCATAACAATCACCAAACCAAGAATCAAGAATGATCTAACCTCAACTGTTGTATAGAGCCGTGATATTTGGAATCGAGATCTTCGATGCTAGATCTGAGAATTGTGATCTTGAGGTTTTGTGCAGCGATTTTCTGGTCTAGCATCAAACATCTGCGTTCTATGGATTGTATACTTGTGTGCTTCGATGCTAAAATCTGTGATTTGTTCACTTGTAACTCTTTCTCCGCCTACTCAAACATTTGAATCAAGCAAATCCAGAAAACGATCAACAATTTGAATCCAGAGATCGAGAATTGATGATCTGTTTGATTGATTCGTTGGAAAACTTGATTTAGAATCGAATAAAATCAACCAGAGATCTCGATTAACACAGGAATGTAGCGATTCTCGAATTTTCACACTAGCGAGATTGAAAACTCGATGATTCAATGGAACGAAGAGAAGATAGGATTCTAAATTGATGGATTGTTTGGTACCTGGAGAAGATCGAGTCGTTGGTTTCTGGTGAACTCCATTTGATCGAGTCTCTCCTTGAAAGCTGAAGAAAGCGCCATTGCTAGAGAGAAGAGAGAGCGAATTTGAATTTTGAATTTGGAGATTGGAATTAAGTCACTTGAGCGGAGTCGAGTATATTATTATATTATAGGCAGGTATTATTTAAGAAGGCCCATCACGTTTAGAGTCCGATACTAATAAGCCCATTAAGCTTTTTCAAACGAATTGATTGATTAGAAAGGCATAACTGATTTGCAGTGTCCAAGTTCATCATAATTCTAACCATTTTGTAGTAATCTCCCAAGTTTTTAATCACTTGAAACAAATTAATTGAACCATTGCAATCGATTCAGAGCATCCAAGTTCTTCGTTTTCGAGTACACAGTGTCCAAAACTGCTCGGCTGCCTACCACTAGAACAACCAGCTAAAACTTAGAACTTCATAGATAAGCAAAATTAGAAGGCATGGTTGGTGTAAGAAGAGAAGAAATACACAATTTGTCTCCAAAATGAGAACCTTAATCATATATGGATAGAATGAAGAAAAAAAAAAAAATCATATATGGATAGAACTCGACTTGTTTCTCAATTATAACTTTGCAATAAGAAAAAGAAGACACAAGCATTCAATTAAATGAGCAGGAATCAACTGAAATTGCAATCTTTTTAGAAAACGAGCGAGGTTTACACAAGGATGGCAAATGAGGTAAATACAAACAAAACTCAAGATCGATCAGACTGATTTGATCGCGGTGGAGGGATCAGGATCGGAGTTATCGGGAGGAAGATTTGGGATGAGAGGAGCATGAAGATCGGAAGATGTGTCGACGTCTTGGTCGTCGGGATCGTAATCAGGATTGAGAGATCTGTCGATGGCTTCACGACCTGTCTCCAGGCAAGGCTTACAAGCTAACTCTATCGTTATCCATCCCAATATAATTCCGGCTATTGCTATCACCGCACTTGTTATCGCCGCCATTGAGATCTTTCTCTCTTTCTCTCTCTCTTTCTCTGATGCCTCCGACTCTGTACCACCTCTTAGCTTGACTCTTCCCGTTCCCCTCAATTATGGAGGAGATTGAGAAAATGTCAATTATGCCCTTTTCTTTTGAGTATATTCTTTTTCGTCGGCAAGAATTATGAATTAGCTAATCACAATTTTGTTACCTTAATGATTGTATTTTTTATTGATTTATATTCTGATTAAATTGATGTAATGAGTAAGTGATGAAAACGTTGTTACAATTTGATATTGTCAAATAATAATGTTTCAGAAGGTTATTGGTTTATGTTCAAATTGTAACGAACTCATTTTCAGAAGAAAGTAATGTATGTGAATATGGAAATTATCTATAGAAAACTTAAAATATTCAAACAGAAAAAATTCAGAGTTTCATTTCACAACCACTTTCCATCCAAGACAAACAAAGAAAAACAATAGTAAAACGTTAAAAGGGTAAAAATAAATTACTGGCAGAGTTGTTCGACGGCAGTGACAATCTGAGCTGGCTGAACAACCGTCCATTCCTCCAATGTGCCGGCATAAGGAGTTGGAACATCTTGAGAAGACAAACACATCACCGGAGCATCTAAATAATCATGAAAGTTCTCGTTTATTGCAGCCGTCAAGCTGGCTCCGATTCCTCCCGTTCTCATACATTCCTCCACAATCAAAACCCGGTGCGTCTTCTTCACTGAGTTTCCAATGGTGTAGAGATCGAACGGCTTCAACGACCTAATGTCGATAACCTCTGGATCATACCCTTTGTTCACCAGCGTCTTTGCAGCCTGCATTACATGGTACCTGGTTCAAGTACTCTGTTAGTTCTGGTTTGTTTGAATTTCAATGAAGAAGAGATTTTGGTTGTGATTTAGTACCTCATCCTTGAATACGTCAGTATCGTGATGTGTTCACCGGGTCTGACCATTTCCGCTTCTTCCAGATTACAGATGTATTCTTCATCCGGAATAGTCTCCTTGAGGTTATAGAGTAGAACATGTTCAAACAGAATCACAGGATTCTCGCTTCTTATCGCTGCTTTCATCAATCCTTTAGCGTTGTAAGGTGTTGAGCAAGCCACCATCTGGATCCCAGGAATTGACTGGAAGTAAGACTCGAGACGCTGGGAATGCTCGGCTCCTAGCTGCCGGCCCACACCTCCAGGCCCACGGATTACAACCGGGATAGTGAATTGACCACCGGATGTGTAGTGAAGCATACCACAGTTGTTGGATATCTGGTTGAAGGCTAAGAGTAGAAAGCCCATGTTCATACCTTCGATGACGGGTCTTAGTCCTGTCATGGCGGCTCCAATGCCCATACCGGTGAAGGCGTTTTCACAGATTGGAGTGTCCAGAACCCTGAGATCGCCGAACTTATCAGCTAGCCCTTTGGTTACTTTGTATGAGCCTCCGTAATGGCCTACGTCTTCACCCATGACACATACATGTGGATCTCTGTCCATCTCTTCTTCTAGACCTTCTTGAAGAGCCTCGAAAAGCAATAGCTCATGTCTGCAAAAGTTAAATTTAGTTATGCATATGCTGTGGCAGTAGGCATAAACCTTACATGGAAGTAGGTTTTATCATACAAAGACAAGAGCAAGATATGTGCTACTTGGAACAATGGACCCAGAAGTGAAAATGCACAAGCTTGAATTCTTAGGCTTTGAGGATGCAGAAACAAATTATATGTAACGTTACTAATTAAACACAAGCTCAAATTGCAGGATTTTTTGAAGACGTTCGTAGATATGTTTTACGTGGAAATTGTTCATTTTGTATGCTAATACATCAGAACTTGAAAATCAATGTGTTCATGAGGGAGGTAACTAAAAGCTTCCACCTAAGTGATCTTAAGATAGATTCTTCCTCTAATCATTTACCATGATAAATCATTTTAGATGGAAAAATAACTGGAAACACAGCTTTGCAATCACAAATTAAATTTACTTATGCTTACGCTGTGGCAAAAAGCATAAACGTTACAAGGAAGAAGGTTTTATCATACAAAGACAAGAGCAAGAAATGTGCTACTTGGAAAAATGGACCCAGAAGTGAAAATGCACAAGCTTGAATTCTTAGGCTTTGAGGATGCAGAAACAAATTATATGTAACGTTACTAATTAAACACAAGCTCAAATTGCAGGATTTTTTGAAGACGTTCGTAGATATGTTTTACGTGGAAATTGTTCATTTTGTATGCTAATACATCAGAACTTGAAAATCAATGTGTTCATGAGGGAGGTAACTAAAAGCTTCCACCTAAGTGATCTTAAGATAGATTCTTCCTCTAATCATTTACCATGATAAATCATTTTAGATGGAAAACACAGCTTTGCAATCACATTTAAAATTCCCAGTTATCCATTTGACAACTGCCACTTCTAAAGAGCCCAAGTAAGGCTCTATTCAGCAGAGATTCTAACCTAATCTAGAATCAGCCCGGATCTAACACCACCACTCTAAAATGATGAATAGAGGAAGGTTTTTCAAACAGTATCATAGATCTAATGCACTATAGATGAGCCATAACAGTTAATTACCAAACAAGAGAAACCTTTTTCTCCCAATTAACATCCATGATTATGATCAAGAGTTCAAAATTACTAAATCAATGCATGAAACCATTAACATAAGTAGTTAAGTAACATACCCAGGCTTTGATGAAGTAGAGCTCGCAGCAGTGTCCGCCTTCGCCTACAGAAATCGAAAACCCCATCAAAGATCCATTCTAGATTCTTAAGACCCCCAACACAGAAAGAAAAAAAAACCAAGATTAAACACATACCGCAACAGCATTTGGTATCAACGGCTCAGAGCGACGAACTATGAGGCTAGAACCAAAGCTTTTACTATCAGATCCGGCAACAACGTATCTCTTGCTCCTCACTGCATCAAAAACCCCATAAAATTCCCAAATTCAAAACAGATCATTCCCCAAATTCGAAACCGAAACCAAAAAAAAAGGAGGCGAACCTGAAAGAGATGAGCGAGAAGGAACTACGAGTTTGCTGGGATCAATAGAGTTAAACGGCGAGAGAGCCGTTGCAGCTCCAGCTCCAGCTCCTTGGAGTAGTATCGCAGACATTTTTCCGAGAAAACCAGAGAGAGGAAATCAATCGTGACAACTGTTATTATGTATGCATATATAAACAAAAATGGTGATAGATAGAACAGAGAAGAAGAGTGGAGAAGAGCGGAGAAATCGAAGAAAAAAAGCGTGATTTCGTATCCCAGCTTGGCGATTTTGATAAATCCGGTTTATTCCGGTATATAATTGCTCTAATCTGCGTATTGTTTGGATTTGGTAGTTCACCTGAACCAACTAAATTGCAGACATGATCGACAGCCCAAAAATGCTCGGCCCAATTAGTAATTCTGTAAACGCTTTATGCTCATAATTCTACCACCAATTTATATAATCCAAAATCATTTTTCCTACACTTTTCTTTTTTGGTAAATTTTTATTGCAACAAACAAGTAATTTTCAAAATGAAATGCTTCTAAAGTTGAATTTTAGATGATAAAGGGAAGGTTTAGAATTGAAGAAATTTGAAGAGCAAATAACAAAACAAAAAACAGAGGAGCACGAGTTACTTAAGGTCATGTGCTGAACCAAAGTTGGAGGAGTTTGTTGTAGTTGTAATTTTATGAAATGTTTCGTTAAGTACCTTTGGTGAAAAACAATTTAATTCAAAGACGTTTTTTTTTTTAAGATAGCACCAATTACATGTGCTCATTAGTTATTTCAATTCCATAATTTTGAGATCTTATAAATGATTCTTGTTTGAAATCCAAACATTGAATAATTGGCATTTCCCACGTGGATATCTAACCTTCTATGTCGGTATCTGGCCGAATCATGTTAACAATCTAAACTAATTATCAAGTGAAACACGTGGTTGACAAAACAAAAATCACCTAAATCACGTGATGGCAAGTATTTTATTCTTTCCATTTTAAAATAGGGAGACTCACAAAAATGCCCCTTTTTTAATACCCCTTTTCAAAAATGCCTCCTTTGACTGTTCATTTTTAAAAATACCCCTTTTTATGTACAAAATGACTAAATTACCCTTCTTTTAATAAAAGATATCACAAATATATAAGGAAATATAACAAAATTAGGTCCACAAAATACAAAATATTTTTTGGCGGGAAAAGTGATCCCGTAATTTTTCCCGCCAAAACACTTGTAAAAACTTGTAAAAACCTTTAAAATACCTTGTAAAATTTTCCCGTAAAACTTTTTCCCGCCAAAAAATTTTCCCGCCAAAAAATTTTTTTTGCGGGAAAAGTGATTCCGCAATTTTTTTGGCGTTAAATTTTTGGCGGGAAAATTTTTCCCGCCAAAAATTTACAAGGGATTTTAAAGGTTTTTTACAAGGTATTTATAAGGTTTTACAATGTATTTTAAAAAGGTTTTACAACGTATGTCAAGGTATTTATAAGATATTATAAGATTTTACAAGCTATTTTATAACGGTTTTTACAAGTTATAAGGTTTTACAAGTTTTTTATAAAGTTTTACAAGTTATAAATACCTTATAAAACCTTATAAGTACCTTGTAAAACCTTTTAAAATACATTGTAAAACCTTACGAAACACTTGTAAATACTCTGTAAAACCTTTAAAATACCTTGTAAATTTTTCCCGCCAATAATTTTCCCGCCAAAAAAATTTTGCAAAAAAAATTGCGGAATCACTTTTCCCGCAAAAAATTTTTTTGGCGGGAAAATTTTTTGGCGGGAAAAATTTTTACGGGAAAATTTTACAAGGTTTTTTAAAGGTTTTTACAAGTGTTTTGGCGGGAAAATTGCGGGATCATTTTTCCCGCCAAAAAATATTTTGTATTTTGTGGACCTAATTTTGTTTCAAATAAGGGTAAAATAGTCATTAAAAATTAAAAGAGGGCAAACTTAAAAATGGACTCTCAAAGGGGGCATTTTTGAAAAGGGGTATTGAAAAAGGGGCATTTTTAACAATTTCTCTTTAAAATATAAAGCGTTTTAGCTAAAAGAACACCGATAAAAAAAATTTACTTTTTAAAAGTTCAACCAATCATAAAAGAGTGCATATTAAAAATAATCATAAAATGTTAAAATAATATATAATTTGCATAGAAATTTGAAAACAACTTATATTTTGAAACAAAAAAGTTACTCCAAACGTTTTATATTTTGAAACGGAGAGAGTATTAAATAATGCAATGATGTATAGATTATTACCGACTTTACATTTTTACAATAATTAAAATACTCCACCTAAAAAAAAGGAAGGAAATGAAACATTCATTTTTTTTAGGTGGATACAACATTGTTACATACATTTAACAGAGCTATAAGCCTATATAACATTGTTAAATGGAGCTTCTATTTGTCTTGTGCAAATTGTTGGTGTCGGATCCCGCACCAGAAGTACGAGACCAACCAAAGATTGCCGCGTAATCAGGGTAATGGCCCATAAAGGATGAAGCCCATTGGACCCGTGAGCCGAAGGGATGTTCGAAATGGTTGATACCGTTTCAAGAGTCCGAAGTGACTGCACTGCGGCACGAGTTCGATGAAAAAGGCATGGGTAAGGCAGTTCAAGGACATTTGGGCCAAGAGAGGCGAGGCCCATGAAGATCGGAGTCAACTCAAATTCAAACGTTGAGCATTAAAGCCGAAGAATCGAAACGGACACATTTAAGAAGAAATAATTGTGTTTGATTACTCATTTTAATGTCGTTTATTTGTGTATAAATATAGAGGCCAATGGCCATGTAAGGGGACCGAGCTCTAAGGAGAGAAAGAATATAAGCAATTTTCATATCAATTTACAAGTTCTTACGTATTCATTTTTTGTCCCTCAAGAATAATCTTTCCCACTTAACAAAATACTTGAGTGTGTGAATCCGACATCCACATTTTGGCGCCGCCTGTGGGGATACATCAGGATTCTTGAGTGGTCAGATTTCTTCTTTTCTACATTTCCGAGATAAGCAACAATGTCCGGAGGAGACGCCGTTGAAACTTCATTGGCCGAAACCCTCAAAGCTATGCAGCAAACCATGTCGGACATATCACAAAAGTTCTCGGATGTGGAGAAGGCCGTCGATACGTTGCAAACATCCCAGGTATCTCTTAGCCAAAACGTCAATAATATACAAACTCGTGTTCGCTCTTTAAGTGCAGGAAACCCGGTGGGAACCCGAAGAGGGATATTCAACTCGCCAAGTTCCGCTGCACGAAATGAAACCAGCGGACAAACAACTCCCGGTGCTACAAATAATGTAGCTCAGACGTCGGAAGAAGAGACGCAGATCGGGGATGAAGAACAACTTGCAGCTCAATACGAGCAGGAGAACCTCGACCAGTTCGAGACCATGAAGAAGGTTAGCCAGGAATTAAAAGAAATGAAATCAAAATTTCATCAGGCTACAAGTTCGGAGCCAGACATCAATCGAGTCATTGAAGAAGCAAGGCGAACCCCTTTTATCCCGCGAATTGCAAGTTTGAGGATAAAAGATTCCCGGAAGCTCAAGTTGGACCCTTACAGCGGATTGGAGGATCCAAAAAGCTATCTTGCAGCCTTTCTGATCGCTGCAGGAAGAGTCGAGTTGGATGAAGCTGACGAGGACGCAGGCTATTGCAAGCTGTTTTCGGAGAATCTATGTGGCCAAGCTCTAATGTGGTTCACCCAACTAGAGCCGGGTTCGATCAGCAATTTCGACGAACTATCAGCCGTGTTCTTAAAGCAATACTCTATCCTTATGGATAAAAGCGTTTCGGATGCCGATCTTTGGAACTTGACGCAAGGATCTAATGAGTCACTTCGAGTTTTCATCACCAAATTCAAAGGAGTGCTATCGAAACTCCCGAGAATCTCACAGCAATCAGCTTTATCTGCCCTACGAAAAGGATTGCGACATGATTCAAGGTTTAAAGAAGACTTAATACTTCATAAACCAGATACAATTCAGGATGCACTCTTCCGTGCAAATAATTGGATGGAGGTAGAAGACGAAAAAGAAAGTTTTGCCAAACGGAATAAACAAGAAAAGCCGGCAATCACTGTCCCTACCAAGAAGTTCGAGCCTAGAGAAAGCAAAGGACCAAGGAAGTTTGGGTCGCAACCCTTCAATAATTCCGTCGGGAAGCAATTCCAAGGGAAAGGAAGATCAAACACTTGGGTCCGTGATGAAAGTCTATATTGCGACATTCATAAAGTAACCGGACATTTAACCAAGGATTGCAGCGTCCTTAAAAAGCACCTCGCAGAGCTTTGGGCTAGTGGTGATCTTTCTAAATTCAATATAAAAGATTTTGTGAAGGAATACCACGAAGCAAAGGAAAACTCCAAAGATCAAGATTCCAAAAGACCAAGGTTATCCAACGAGGAAGAACCAAGAAATTTGAAGGGGAAGATCAATGTGATTCTAGGAGGATCCAGATTTTGCGGAGATTCAATAAGTTCAATCAAAAAGCATCGACGAAATGTCTCACTCAAAGCAAGTTTAAGCGAAGAAGTCGATTTTCAAGGTGCATCAATATCATTCGATGAAGAAGAAACTCGGCATCTCGAAAGACCGCATGATGATGCTCTAGTCATTACTCTTGATGTCGCAAACTTCGAAGTATCAAGGATCCTTATAGATACAGGCAGTTCGGTCGACTTGATCTTTTTAAGTACTCTAGAAAAAATGGGAATCAGCCGAGGAGACATAGTAGGACCTCCGTCTCCATTAGTTGCATTCACTAGCGAGTCAGCCATGTCTCTTGGAACAATCAAACTACCGGTCCTTGCCAAGAAGGTATCGAAGATCGTGGATTTCGTTGTCTTCGATAAGCCCGCAGCTTACAACATCATCCTCGGGACTCCCTGGATTTATCGGATGAAAGCAGTCCCCTCTACATATCATCAATGTATCAAATTTCCAACAACAAATGGGGTGGAAACGATTCGGGGAGATCAAGAAGCTTCGCGAACATGCTACTTAGCTAGCCACCGTTTGAAGATCCAATAGCAATTAACAAAGCCTGCAAAAGAAGGACTAAAGCAAAAATTTCCTAGTGGGCAGAAGAAAGAGGATGTAGTAGTCGAAGTGGTACTGGAAGAAGACAAGCCGGACCGGAAAATTAGAATTGGAGCAACTTTGACTGGCCAAATAAAAGAAGCTTTGATCGAACTCTTAAGGAAAAACAAAGCATCATTTGCATGGTCAGCAGCGGACATGCCGGGCATAAATCCGAGTATAATCTGTCATAAACTGAACGTAGATCCAAGCTTCAAACCGGTGAAACAAAAAAGAAGAAAGCTTGGAGTGGAGCGAGCAAAAATAGTAAACG